GACTCATTGTGGTAGAAAAGGTGACCTCTGTTCTTAGAAGACTTACTACATTCTTTTATTGGTCTGCATTTAAACATCTCAGGACTATTGTAACACCTGGCGACAGTGAATTAAACTCACGAGGTTCTCTCTTTATCTCAGAGTGAGTTCTTATTTCAAAACAAACTTTGAAATAAAGTTGGAGTATGTCCCAAACCACATGAAACTGAATGAGAAGAGTTCATTGTCTTTAAAGTATCTTTGCAGAGCTACAAGCTTAGTTCAAGATAAGGAAAGTGTTAGGAACATTGGAAAATTTGCTTCACCTCAGTAGCTAAGAACGTAGAGAAGTAGCTTTCCACAGCTAGTCTTTCCAGGTGGACTGTATTAGTACTAAAAGAAGAATTAATTTTAACTTTAGAAACACTACTCTTCCGTGAGTTTGTGTTCACTCGTTAGGAATAGCCTCTGGCCTGGAAATGAATCAGAGTTGTATGTTTGATACTAAATGCTTTCTAACAGCTCATATACAACACTTATTGTTGCAGGAAACCATCTTTATCATCAGCGTTTTGGTTATTGTACCAGTAAGTAACACAAACATTTCCTGCTGCTTCATAACAACATCTTAATCTGGTCTATCTACCTCTTTTTTTATCATTGTTACTAAATCAAATTTCAGTTACTGACAAAACAAGTAAAAGCAGGATTTTTCACTTCTGATAAAGCACTGTTTTTCTTGATTTTGAAGGCATGATACTAACCAAAAAGAAGTGTATGAACTTTGTCACAGTCATGATGCTTCTGCAAGGCGCTCCCTGAATAGCTCAGTAATAGCAGAATGGCACTCATTACTTTCATAAGATTGGTGGCATCGTTTAATAGTGTAGAATACGTTGTTGCTATGACGTTTTTCCAAGAGCTTTCAGAAACATGGGCTTATGGGAAAAAAGCTTAATGCAAGTAAATGTTGCATATACATGTGTTTTCTTTTATGGTGTTAGGTGGTTGATAAAATGATGGTGCGCTTTTCAGACCTTTGAGACAGCCAGTGAGCAGAGTGGAGCACTTGCTTATATAAAAGTAGATTGACCATTTTCAGAAAATGAGTTGAATTCAAGCTATTAGTCCAGAAATGCTGTGCATTTATTCATTCTATTTTGGGGGCAGAGAAGGAGTTATAGGGAAGCATTACTAGCCAGACTCTACTGCAAATGTCATGGACAAAGCAGGATCAGTTGCTAGAAAACATGATTTATCTTTTGATATTTCCTGCAGTTGTTAAGGTTTTCCTGCACGTTCCTAAAAAAAAAAAAATTAGTATGTTTGAGGAAATCATATTCTGTCCTGAATACCTGTTGTATTATATCAGTAAACAGTTCAATTAGAAAATTTGGAACTTGATTCAGACAGTACTAATTTTTCATTGTGATTTCATATAACAACTTCCCACACCCATTTAATTCAGATAACAGCCAGGCCTTCTGTTAAAAATATATTTAGAAGTTTATAAGCATAGTTTGAAATTATCTTATGCCTTGCCTAGACTGACTAGAAAGTGATTTTAAGAAAATCTGCATTATTATACTTTAAAAAAGCTACATGCACTCAGTTACCACTTAAAAAACAAATTATGCAACTTTGTTATCACTAACAATCATTTGAGGAAGAGATGTTTGTAGATAAATAGATGGACACAGTTGCTCAAGTGCTAGGGATAAAGACAGCTGTTGTCTAGCAATAATCCAAATCACCGCTGGCAGTTTTTTTTTTTTTACCACGCCAGAAACTCTACGTGTACTCAGTTCATGGAGAGACTTGTAAAGCGTATTTGGCTTTTGCCTTTAGCAACGCTTGTAGCATTTGCATGAAACCTTACCTTAACGGAGGCAGGTGCCATTTTCTGCTGATGTATGATGCTGCTCTTTGCCAGAACTTGGAGATTTTCCTTTCCATGAGACGTTCATGATTCTATAAACTTTAGCCTGCAGTCTTTAACGTCTCTTGCTTCTTTAGCCTGTTTCACCTAGACTCGTGGATACTTTGGGTATTTAAACTCTATTTGAGAATGCCTGTTTGCTCTTAGTAGTTCAAGCCTTCAAGTGCTTTTTTTCCTTTCTTGCATTTCTTTAATAATGGAGAGGTGATTTTGTAAGTCACTGCTTGTGTTACATTAGCTGTCCTAAAGCTCACAAAACACTTGAAGCAAACTCTGAGAAATAATTGCCGTATGATCAACTGTAATTTTTTTTTCCCCCCTCCTCCCAACATGTCTTGAGGCCAGTTTCTTCACAAATGGAAATGAATTGCTTTATGTAGTTCGGTGGAATAAAGGTCTGACTAAGCAGTGTGGTCTGTAGAGATAGATGCGTAACTATGAATTGCCTAGCTCCTTTCCTTGAAGAGTGATTATTCTTAAAGCCTTTTGATGTGCACTTAGGTTCTTGATAAATGGAGTTTATGATAGAACGTGGAGTTCTACGCTTATGTATCATCCCCATCTTACATCAGTGCACAGTGGTAATGGTGATAATTCATCATTTAGAGAAAACTTGCTCAAGGTCTGTCTTCTGTGAGTACATGTCAGTGTCAAAGACTACTAAGAGTAGCAGCTAAATTATGTCACCTTTGTGGCCTCCTTCGGACATCTCAACTCTTTGCTGCCCTATGTGTAAGGCTCCAAGTAGAAGATAACATGATTTGGCTGTTCCTGCTGCTTCTTTTTGGTCATTTCATTAGAGGAAGTGGCCCCAAGGCTGCGGCTGCAGGTGGGGGGGTCTGTGCCGTCCAGCGGGTTTCTTCCTGGGCCCTGCCCAGTGCTGGCACACAGGACTTACCCAGGGCCGCGGGGTCGCTGCGATAGACAGAACTTGCTCTGACGCAGAGGGAGCGTGCGTCCGAGGCTGGTTTTGCCAAGGCAGGGGATGCCAGTGCAGTGGTGAATAAAGAGAGTGATGAAGGGATAGGTCAAGCATGAAAGCTGACAAGTCTGCTCGCTGCAAGTGTTCAACGCTGGAAAAGAGCACTGCCCTCTCTCCGGTTAATTGGGTTGTTCCCAGCAGCTTAATGTGCTTTTGAGTAGTTTATCCTGACAGCTCTGAGGAAATGAAATATCTAGAACATTGTTTCTAGGCCTAAAAAGAAAAAAATATATAGTTATCTTTTGAACAAAGCTGCTCTGAACGTACTTACTATGTAAAAAGAAATGGATGAAAATAAATATAGCTCTATTGTTATTCCTCATATTGTGCTTTCTTTTTGTCTCTCATACTGCCTGTGCATCTTCTTGTGACTGCTGTTTTGCGCTGCCTTGCTGCTAGAGATCGCCGGTCTGTTTGGGTAGGGTTTTTTTTTTTTTTTAAATTTGTGAAGTAAAAATGGAAGGAGATGCTGCTAGGCCATTATCATTAAACCAAGCAGTTTGTGTGGTACAGTGTATTGCAGACTGGTATGGACTTTGTAAGACGCGTATAAAGAACCATGAATTTCTTGTTCTTGTCTTGCTTGGCTCTACAAATTTTGCAGTACACCCAAGCTGCCCAGAATTTGTGCCAGTTTCCCAATCAGAGACTCACAACATCATTGTCCTTGTTCTTATTTCCTTCCTCTTGCATCATGTTGTTTATGTGGAGAGAGAACTGGTGAAAAAACAGTATTTGTTTGCTTGGTCATCTTTAATCTGCTTTTCTTGCTCAGATTTATTCTAGTGAAATGCTTGTTTTTTCTCTGTGGAAGCAAAATGTCTTGTGTTCTCTTAACTTCTGAGTTACTTCCTCCCAGTACACCTATAAATGAGCCGATATATTTATCTTGCAAATCTGGAGTATGTCTTACAAACCTAGGAACTTTTGTATTTTTGGCACCACTAATGAAAATCCTGTGATTCAAGATTTTTTGAGGCTTCAAATAATCATTTCTAGGCCAATTCATGTTACGTGAATATGAAACTATTATTCTTAATTTACCTTCTAATATTTGAGGATTTATATTGATTTCATATCAGTTTTGATTTCGTAACTTCCTTTAGCTGATGAAAGCTAAGCTGTGATTCTGATAATGCAGAATACCAAAGACTGTGAGATGGTTTCCACATCTCTTGATTCTTATGCAGTATGGACGCTTGGAGAAATTTTGCTGAGGAGATCATTTAAGTGAAAAATCAGTTTTTAAAGAATTTTGTATAGTCCTTGGCACACATGCCTTTTTCTTTTCAGTGATGTGCTAATCACAGAAGTTTTCACTTGGAATAGGAAGTGGAACTAAGTTTTTCTGACTTAGATCTGAGTCTTGCTCTGAAATCATTGGCAGTCTTCCCGTTTATTTCAGGCCTTCAGTTTGTATGTTTTCAGTTTGTATGTTGCATTTGAAATTAAATATTAAGTGGCCCAAGAGGCAACTGCTTTCCTGCCTGATTAGAGATACAAAGTAGCAAAAGATGATAAAAATACAGATTAAAAAAGCGCTAAGTTGGCCCTCTTGTATGAAAATATCAAGATGCATATTGTCCTATCTCTGTTCTTACAGTCTCTACAAACATCCATTAGCTGTAGCATGTTTTTAAATAAAATTGATTTTGAAGCCTGTACAGTGACAGCAGTCGCTGCAAATTATGATCAGCCTTCTCCTGGGCAGCCAGCGCCCAGATATCGCACACAGCTATTGGAAGCTGTGCTATTGAATTGAGCTATTGCCTGTATAGCTATACAGGCATTTCCCACGTACTCTGTGTGCTCTGTGCAAGTGAGAAATAAGGATAACAGGGAGGATAGTACTGCTACCTTCTCCAAGTCTCCTCCCGTAGATAGCTGGGGAATAGCGTGTCTTTGCTTAAAACTAAGCAAAGGCAGGTCTGTGTAAGGCTTAAAACTTCTCAGAAACGTCATGCTTTTCACTTTTTACAAACCCAGCTTTCATGACCAAACAGGAGGTTGTTGAGGCCGCTGCTCTGCCAAACTCAGTGCATTAGCCTTTGCTGAATTGAATTGCCAGTACTATGACTTTTCCTTGTTCTGTTTATGCAGATCCTGTACTCCAGGTGCCAATACATGTGGAAGAGTAAGTCTTTTTCCTTTGTCTCACTTACTGCTTGTTTGCTTTTCAGTGACACTTCGAAATTTGGTTTAATTTAAACCAAAACTAGCAATCTGTTGGCACAAGTCAACTTAAGGTGATTCAAAGAGCAGATACTGAAAGGATATAATTAGCTATGTGTAATTCTTTTGTTTGCAGCCCTCACATGAAATACCCTGTCTGCAGATTGTGTTCTCTTGAGCCCTTGCTCAGATTTAGAGATCGTATGCTAAGTGTGCCAGAATCACCTAACTGAACAGCTTTGAAAATGATAGAGACATCTAGGGAATGATCTCTGGATTTTTAACTTCTTGTTCTCTTTAAATAAAAGACTAAAAATACATAGGGAAGCGTAGGAAACTCCAACTACCAGCGCTACCAGAATCTTCAAATGAAACCCTCAAGCAATCACTTCAGAGAAGTTCCACCAGCAGAGCGGTCCCACGTTTAACTAGCAAATGTTGGGCTTTAGCTTTCTGCCTCTGAAGTCAGTGGTAAAATCCTTTCTCTTTTGTGGTTCTTCTTGTTATTATGTTGTTGGGGTGGGGGTTGCTTTTACCTCTCGCATTTACTGAATTCTGGCAACTTTATTTATTGTCCCTTACTTTCCTTCTGCTTTCTGCTCTTTGTTTTTTGTTCTTTATTTTTTTTTAATTCTGTAGCATTTTAAAAACATACATATCTTGTTTTAAAAGTTTCACCCGAGTGATTGATTGCTCAGCACGTTTGGAGCTTTGATTTTTTTAAGTGTTTTAGTAATCTCATGCGACATCAGGTCTGACTTTTTTTATTTTATCAGTTTTCTTTAGAATCACAGTTTAATGAAACCTCAAAAAATGGATAGTACAAAGCGAAAAAGCTAACATCAAATTAACTCCTTCTTCAGAAGGCAAATACGGACAGTACTTGCTTTCCTGTTCTCTGAGAAGCACAGCTGTTGTTTCATCTATTTTAACTGCTTAAATCCTAGGCCAGCATTTCTTCCAGACCCAAATGATGGCAGTTTGTATACGCTCGGTGGCAAGAATAATGAAGGCTTGACTGTAAGTATACTTTGCAAATTCTCTCCTCTGCTAATTTTTAGACAAGTGTCTTAATCGGACTCTCACAAAGGACAAGTGCCCAAGGGAGCTTTCTGCTTTCTTGACAGTATTGTGATGTTCTGCAGGCTGGCTGTGGTTTTGTGTTGCTTGCTGGAAGCGTACCAGTTCCTTGGAAAAACTTGATCACGCTAGCCAGACAGCAGCCTCCGTTACCTGTGCCCATGTTAGGATAACGTGCTTTTGGAATGACAGTGCCTTCCGCTGTGTTGCTAGCAGCTTTGCAGAGTGAAAACATACTTTTAGAGAGAAAAGTTACCACCTTTCTTGTGGCCATCAGGAAATGGTTTTGGATGGAAAATATCAGCAACAGACATATTTGTTTTGTCCACTTTTCCTGTTTTTCCACAACTTGTTAAAATAATGGTGATGACAAATAACACTTGTGTGGCATTACACAAATACTGAATAATCTCTGTAGTACCTGATGGGAAAGATGTGGCCAGAATAACACAAATGAGATATGTCCCTGTGCCCCGAATACTTAATTTTCTAATATTATCTGCGAAAAAACATAGTAAATACACATTCTGTGCTGACGCCTTTAGGAGCTGTCTTTATAGGATTTAGTAAGCAGACAAAAGAGCTGAACCTTTTCGAAATAGTCACCAATACATGTAACCCACAGATGTTAGCTGATGTTTGACTTTTATTCTTAAATTTTGCGATGAAACTCAGATAAAATGTTTGGCTTCCCACAAGTTTCTTTTCTCTGGCAGCTGCTGTGACTTCCTTTAAGAACTTTAATATTGTTAAATATTTTAGTATTTACTCACCACTTTCACCTCCCCCTGCCCGAGTACAGCTAGGTACACCATCATAATTTGCAAAATTATTATTAGTTCTCTTCCTTGGTGAATCCAGGAGGTTGCAATCTCTTTGAATCACCAACTTTACTTTCTCCTGAAAATCTCCCTCTTTTTGAATTAGAGTAAAATATTTCTGGTTAGATTCACTATTATAAAAGTTTTAGGCCAGAGTGGGCCTTTTTAGTGAATTTACTTAAATTTAGTAAAGGCCTGATCTTTAGTTGTGGTGCAGCATGTCCCTCAGTCTCCTGTGACCTCATCCTGATAAAAAAAAAAAATTCCTAAAACTTAGCAAGGCTATTCGCCCAGTATGTAGGTGAGATACAGGCTTGATCGTGTCTCAAGAACTCCGTAGTCAGAGATGCCTGCCTCGCCCTCTCGGTCATCTCATTTGTGTAAAGATCTCTGACCTTTACAGAAGTTACCGTGCAGCCCTGTGGAGGAACATTTTATACCTGTTACAGGTGAGGCAATTAAACCATGACATGTTGAAGCTTCGATAGTTTATGAATGATGATGGCAGACTGTAAAATGAAACCAAAGCAGCTTGGCCTCCAAACCTCTCTGCTGCAAGTAGCGCTTCCGTTCCACACACGTTTCTCATGTTATAAACTCATTGAGACAGACTTGTGTGTCCTGTGTTTGCACAGCAGGGTCTTGACCTGAAATTTTGGGTTCTCAGGCACTGCAATAATACAAACAAATAATAAAAAACTGTCACTGGAGATTTCTGAAGTTTTATGGCCACCCTTTTATGTGAAAAAAAGCAAAGACTATCACACCAATTTAAATAAGCCTTTGTTTTTCTCCCCCCACCAGAAACTTCCATTTACTATCCCGGAGCTGGTGCAGGCATCTCCCTGTCGCAGTTCAGATGGTATCTTGTACATGGGTAAGCTCAAATTTAATCTTAGCTTGTAAAATGCTTTGCAACTAGAGTATGTAGAGAGCCCCAGATAGAGGGCATGGAAATACTGTTTTTCTGAGGTATTAGTTGTAGTCTTTCATGAAGCTTTTTGATGTCAGAGAATCTGATGAATACAGAACTGAACTGCTGTGTGAAGATAAAAAGCCAACTACTTTTCCTGTGGGAGAGAATAGCTTTTCTAAGCAGTGAATAGCCTGTATGTTTTTTTTAATTTCTTTCTCAACAAAAAGTGACTTCTATTAAAATCTTCTCATGCTTATAAATGTCATTGACTGCCTATAGTGCAATTATCGTTAAATTAGAACTCCAGTTGCAACAGGGCTAGACACACACCATTCCTTGAGATACAATCAGTGCATTTGTACTACAGACGATAAATTTATGTCTCGCTGTCCTGACTCATTCATAATGTCAGTTGGAGTTGTGAGGAGAACGAGAGAAGGAGAGGCAGTTATGACTCGTGACAACAAGAGAGGTTTGAGGGATCGGGATGAATTTAGTACTGTTTCCTATGCAGATGACTAACTGAAGCTTCCAAAATGAACACATACATTTCAGAATCAAACAAACATTAAAGGCTGTGGCTCATGGGTAATCTTGAGTTGGATGTAAGGATTACAATCCTTAATCAATTTGAAATGTGTAGCCCCTCATCATTTCTTTCCACTTACTGTCCTAAGACAGGAGCATCTCAGTCGCCTCTTCTGCTAGCTCACAAGATCTTTCAAACTCAGAATTCTCTGTGTGTATTAGTTGTTATTGGTATGGAAAAATACTTTATCCTACAGTACTTATTCAAAATACTGTATTTAGTTGTTCTTGTCAATATTTGGGATTGGCCAGTAGTGCCAATTGTGAGCAATGGTTTTATTAAAAATGCTTTATTCATGCTAAGTTCAAGAGCTTACTTAGGAAAAAAAAGACCAGAAACTTTGATGGAAATACAATTTTCCAGCTGAATGGTAATGTTGCTTAAATGATGGTTTCAGGTAAAAAACAGGATATTTGGTACGTGATCGACCTCATGACTGGGGAGAAACAGCAAACCTTGACTTCTTCATTTGCAGAAAGCCTTTGCCCATCAGCATCCCTCCTGTATCTTGGGAGAACAGGTCATATGCTTTTTTTTCTGCAGCTTAGAAGAAAGCTTGTTGTTTACTTTTTTGTTGTTGGATGAATGTTTTTATTTTTTATTTTTTAAGTTTAGGATCATAGCAGTTGACTTTGATCAGTTCAAATTTTCAAATTTACTTAACTTTTTGAATAACTTCTGTAAATGATGACTTTAGACTGTACACAGAAAAATTATTAACTCTTCATAGCAGTGGAAGGATACTGTTTTTTAAACTCTGGGAGTAGGCGCGGTCCATTATTCTTGTTGTCGACTAAGTGGCATTTATATTATCTTTATTTAATGATGCATTCCACTAGCAGCTGAGAGCCTAGGTTTGCATCTGTAACATAGTCATAAAAGCAGTTAAGCAAAATGGAGATACAACGTATTCACGGAAAATACAAATGCAATATTCGAAATAACTATTAAATTAGGCCAGGAACCTATATATAGATGTTGACTAGTGAAAAAGAATGAGTCTTATAGACTTGGTCTTTAACCTCTACATGAATGTGTTCCTTAAATAGTGCTAAGTGTGCCAGCTCGGTTACAGAACACAATACGTTGAATTTCCAAGTGCAGGGTTCGGAAACTCGTAAATAAAATAGAGTACATCAGAAGAAGTCGTGCAATGAGAACAATATTTCTGGTAACATGGCCAGTAACTACCTGCTGGGCTTCTCTTGTTCTGAGATTCCTGTAGATCAGTATATGAGTGGATTGGGTATCACCTTTAACATCTGTGAGGAGTTTGTTTATCATGATGGGAAAATGACATGGGAAAATGTTTATCATGGGAAAATGACATGCAATGAGCATTAAGTAGTGTATGTGGTGTTTTGAGGAGGGTCTCACCTTTGAGGCGATTGATTCTATTCTCTCATAGGTTTTTTTGCTTCACAGACTGTATATTTTTTAACAGAGTACACGATCACAATGTATGACACTAAGAAGAAGGAGCTGCGGTGGAATGCCACCTATTTTGATTATGCAGCTACTCTGCCCGATGAAGACGTAAAATACAGTAAGAATTGAATTGCTGTCTTAAATTTTCATGCATTGGTCACAGATTTTGCATGCAAGAAAAATATTTTGACTTTCTCTATAATTAATAGGTCAGGCTGTCTCTCTGATTTTTGTGCAGTTTTTGATCTGTCGCTTTTTATCCTCCACTTGCCTTAATACCTTGAGTCTGTTGGCTAAATTCAGCTAAATTCAGTCAAAGAAGGTACAGATCTTGAAGATACGACACTTAGAAATTTAGCGAAGACTGGCAGGAGAGGAGGCAAACCTAAGGCACTATGTGCACTCAGAAAAAAATTGTTGGAAAGACTCCAGAGTTGTCTGCTTTTGGCCTGGTCTGCACATGGTTCCAGGCTGCTGGCACACGTGTTGCTGGGACAAGAGTTCTGAGGCCACCCAGGAAGGGATCTCCCAGCTGTGTAATAAGGGTCCTGGCAATTCGGCTTTCTCTCCTGGAAAGTCATGTTTGTGCTTGGCTGTTGTCCGTTGTCCGTTGTCCTTGTTATGGATTTACAGGAATTGGCTCATAAGGAAGTACTGGAATTCCTGTGAGGGGTTGGAAGTATAGGAAACAGTAGGTTTCATTTGCTCTGACGCTCTAAGAAGAGACTTGGAGAAGAGGCTTTTCTTTGTTTATTTTGTTTTGGGAAAGGGGCAACAAAAGAAATTTTTTCAGTCACTTAATTCTTAGAGCGTCTTCATAGATCTGAATGCTCTGTAGGTTCCATGCATTTAACTTGTCTTCTCAAGTAAGGGGTGGCTTTGTGACTTCACCATAAATACTCTGCGTGATCTGGGAGGTCTTTCAGTGTTTCAATTTCCAAGTCTGTAAAAGGGGAGCAAAAACTCCCTCCTGCAGAGGGAGTTTGAGAAGCTTAAATCATGTTTGCAATAGTCGCGCTTACCAGCTGGGTGCTGCAGAAAGAATGCAAATTATATGAGTGTTGGTGATTGTGAGCAACAGTGATCTGTATCCCATCTGAGAATCCCAACATGCCTTTCTGTTATGATACTAAAAATGTATGCATACTAACATCAAAATTTGTAATATTAGTTAAGGAAACACTATTCATGCTTGTATTAAATGGAGTTATTTTGCATTTAAAATAGAGGTGCAACCTGTTAGTTAGAAAGAAGATGGTCTAATCTCCCTAGCATTCACTGCTTGTGGTTTAAGTGCTGAATAAACAGCATTACTGCAGATCATTTTTATTTAAAGCTCTTAAGTGGAAAGGGGAGTCCTGAGAGTTAATTCTTAAATTTCAGGGCTAGGTCATTACAGCTGAGTCCAGATCTAGTGCCTATAAAAATGTAATTTAAGTTTAAAAATACAATTGTATGTCAGGTCAATGAGATTAAAAAAAAAAAAAAAACTAGAAAGCTTCTGATTCTGGTTCATAGTGGATATTTTGCCACATGACAGAACTATTGCACAGATAAAATATGCCCTTACAGTAAGACAAACCTATGTTATAGAGTAGAGTTGCATTTCCTTTCTTACTGTTGGAACTTTCCTCTCCTTTTTCAAAAAACAAGAACAAACGTTACCTTCTCTCAGGGTTTGGAATAATCAACGCTAAATACACATCATACTGGGTTTTATCCTGATATCTTGAACACTTCAGCTTATCTTCTACATTTGAATTGCCACTAGGTGAGGTTAATCAAAACGGAGCGTGCGTGGGCTGCTTACCTTTGCTTTCGTAAGCACTGAGCCCAGAGCAGCTCTGCAGCTCACAGCTCTTGCAGCAGACACCGAGTTGCCTGCATCTGGACGCTGAACAAAATATGGATGAGCTTGCAGCCTTTTGCGAGGGACTTCTCAGTCACCCATGAAGGCTCCCCTTTCAGCCTGTGATGATGGCGTGATTTATATGTTAATTAATCCGCAGGTTTAGAACAGTGAGGTCTGCAAATCCTTGCTGTTAGGTGCTGAAGAGATGAGCTAAATGCATGGAACGCGCTTCCGATCAGCAGTGCGCTTCCTGATGGTGTGAGAGAACTGAATTTTTATCAGTCTAGCTGACAACTGAGTCACTGATTAGCTACCCTTTTGGCAATGTAAGATGTAATAGACTGCTTAGTTAACACAAGACTTGAACTGCTAATACGTATTATTAAAGTTGCACGTAAACAGCATCCAGATAATCTCCTGTGTATTTGTATATTGTAGAAATGTCTCACTTTGTGTCCAACGGAGATGGGCTGGTGGTGACCGTAGACAGTGAGTCTGGGGACGTACTGTGGATTCAGAATTATGCTTCTCCTGTGGTAGCTTTTTACATCTGGCAACGTGAAGGATTACGGAAAGTAATGCACACAAACGTGGGGATAGAAACTCTGCGCTACTTGACGTTCATGTCTGGGGAGGTTGGACACATTACCAAGTGGAAATACCCTTTCCCAAAGGAAAAGGAGACCAAGAGCAAATTGACGTGAGCATGAATATTGCTGTTGTTCTCACCATCTATTTGACAGGGCTTTGATGTTAAAACCTTATTTGTATTCATACATTTAATGGTTGTTCTGCAAGTTTCAAGATGGTGAAAAAGAATACATAAAAGCAGCCCTGGCTCTCCAGCCTTTATTGTATGTCATATTTGTTCTTTTACTGTTTAAAGGAGGAGACAAAAAAATCAGAGACTTAGCAGGTGTTTATTCATAACTTCTCTCAGATGAGTAGGTATTCTGTGTTGAATTAATAAAGGAGTATTTTTTATAATGTGGAACATTTTATTTAGGTGCATAGCATTTCGGTAAATATCACTTACTGAATAATGCAGAAATAGGAATTGAGTTACGTCAAATGAGTAATTGTGACTTAAGTAATCAATTAACAAGGCCTTCAAAATTGAAAAGAATGACTTGATAGTACAGCAGTACCTAAAAAGAATTTATAGATCTAGTCTTTTCCAGAAATAAATATTGATGATTTTGGAAACTCATGCATTATTTCTGAAGGATTATGTTGCCTCGATTTTAGCTAAGAATGTGAATCATCCATTTGACTATTTCTCTCTAACATGTATTGTTTTTTTCTAGACCAACTCTATATGTAGGAAAATATTCCACAAGTTTGTACGCGTCACCGTCAATGGTGCATGAAGGAGTAACTGTTGTGGTAAGTAGGGAGCTGCAAGAACTGAATGACACCTTCTGAAAAGTCCCTTTACAGAATTAGTATTTTTCCAGGTTAAAAAGAAAAAAAAAAAAAAAAAAAAGGAAAAAATAGAAACATACACAAGATTTAAAAAAAAAAAACAGAGCCTTGCAATAGCAAAAGAAAGGTCTATTTTGAGTGAGAGAGATGTAGAAAGAAACTGGAATGTACTTTTATCAAAGTGTACAGAATTATTTTAAAGTCCAATAATCACATAATGAATTAATTTTTTTAAGAACTGGCCACAGTGCAGCAAGAACAGGAGTATTTTGATTGCATGTGGAATTTGGAGACTTGGTTTGTTAAATCATGATATACATTCCTACATAAAATGCTTTTCTACGTATTCTGTCTTCTAATGGAAGACACAATGTTACGTTGTAAGCTGGACCTGTACTCAAACAAGTTTGATCTGATATCTGAAGAGGAATCCTGAAAAAATAAAACACTGAAGGCTGTAGAAGCTCTACCGAAATCTGTTCTAAAATTGCAAATTGCTGTTGAGAAATGCATGACAAATTGAATATTGGTTGAAACAATTAACAGCCTTAGAATGCATGACCATATTTCAGGAAGCTTTTCAAATGCTGCAAAGACATAATTGTAGCTCATCAGGAATTGTGCCAGGCGAGCTTAACGGGAGTGGACCAGAGGTTGCTTTGTGCTACTGTTGGTGCATTGTGGTTAATGACGTTAAAATTGCCATCGTGTTCATCGGAGTAACTTGCCCTAGACAGGAGACTGCGCCGTAGTTTTGTTTTGCTCTCCCTGTAGCTTTCCAGGTAGGAAATGAAGATCCTGTTTCACTTTTCCAAAAAACAGAGAGGGCAATCTCATCTCCTAGGCAACATGTAACTTAGACGGGAAATAGGTCTAATGTCCAAGGTTGTTTGAGCAGTGGCTGAGGGTGTAATGGAAGCAGCGCTTACTTTCGGTCATTTTGCTGCCGGTATATAATTTTTGCTTGTCCATCCATTCTGACCTACGTTTTTTACTTACTTGATTTTTTAAATATTATATACAGTTGCTTCATCAATTGTAACAATAAATCTCTCTTCCTAGCCCCGCGGCAGTGCCATACCCTTACTAGAGGGTCCGAAAACAGAAGGAGTCACAATTGAAGACAATGGCGAGTGTGTTATCACCCCCAGTACGGATTTAAAGGTTTCAGGCAGACTGAAAGAAAAGAACAAACTCAACTATTGGAACGACTGGCTTTTAATAGGTATCGAAGGTCCCTTACTTGGCCCTTGTCCGCATCTCCTGCAGTATCGCATTGCCATCTGCTGGACAGCCAGTTACAGTTTGCACCTCAGAGCTGTTTCTGAACTGCTGTAAAGTGCAGCTGAAACGACTACCTGAAGTCAAGCGCTCAGCAATTACTGAATTCTAGTAATTGTTATACATGCAATATTAATTCCTCCCCTTTTGCATATGAATTACAGTAATGTCCGTAAGTAGGCAACCGCATATTGGTTTTTCCAGGGCCCCTTGCTTTATCCCTTGCATAGGATGAAGAGTGCTCTGCTCAATATATGGAAAGTTTTTAATATGGATTTTGCTCCTTCATCCAGAGAGGGGTAAAGATTATTTTGGTTATTATTTATCGTATGTATTGTATCCCGGTTCTTTTTATTTCCGTTGGACATTTAATTGTGCCTAGTATTACCTTAATTCTTGCCATATGGATCAGAGGGTAATGTTTTCCCCATTTCAAAAATGGGGCATTGAGGCACAGATGTTAATGCTAATATTAATAAAATGTCAGCCCGTTTTGTATGTCCCAAATCGCCAAATGTAGGAACTGTTTTTTCAGAGTATTTGCAATTTTTCTTCAAAAATGAAGAACCATCTGCAGTTGAGTTGTTTCAAGTGATCTAAATGTTATAATTAAGTGATATATCATATGCTGTATGATCTCTGAGGCAGGGATGCAACTTTCAGCTGCTTTAACTACTGCCTTTCTCTCTCTTAGTCCCTTCCTTGTTTGTTTTATACTGTCCAGCTCTCGCAGTAAGCGAAGCAGGCTCTCGTTAAACAGTTCTGACTCATCCCCAGCCTTCTGCCCTCTGTGCTCAATGAGCCTGGCCCTGAATCTCTCCCCTCCTTTTTCTGCCCTGCTCTGTCCAGGAGCAGGAGTCTTCCTCTGTCTGCTCCAATTGCAAAAGCTGGGAGTCAGTAGCACCTCCCTGCTCTCGCTTTAGCAGGCACAAGCTGAAGGAGTGTGAGGAGCAATTGCAGCTAAGTCTTGGATCAGTGCTTGCTTCCTTCAGGTGCAGCATAATCCCTTCTGTGCAGAACCATTTAGGCCCTGGAACATGATCTTTGCCCTCACACAAGACCACATCACAAAACAAAACTAACTTGAAAGTGAGCTGACTAGGAAGCGTTCCAGTGGATGTTCCTCAAATGGTCCGAGAGACCTCAGGAACCAAATCCACAGCCAGTGACTGAGCACGGAGTTGCTCAGGCTTGAGGTCACTATACCGTGAAGGAGGTCTCTTGACTGTAGGGACTCAACAGAGGAAAAAAATGTTTGAGTTCTTCTACTGTGATGTTCTCAAGCTTTTTTTAAATCAACTTGATGTATGCTCTTCAGCAAAGATGTTGAAATGAAGGATAACTTTCCTAAAAAGGGACAATTTTTTTTAATTTCAACAAATATGTTTTATTTAAAGGGCACCATGAGACACCATTATCTGCCCCTACAAAGATCCTGGAGAAATTCCCAAGCAACTTACCTAAAAGGCCTGAAAATGTGATCCCAGTTGACTCTGACAAGACCACTATTGAAGAGGTTTGTGACGATGATGATCATCTTACTAGACAACTGAAGAATAAGGAGGAAGAGTGGAATATTGGGGAAGGAGTTGGAAGAAAAGCTGCATGGAATTGCCTCACGTTTTTGTGACAATATTTTCATGTACTTGACATGTAGTGTCCCTGGTATCATAATGTATCATCCCTTATTTCAGAACTAGGGCTTTAATCTGCTTTTCTTCCACATGCAAAGCTTTGCCTGTGGTAGGATTAGAAACTTTTAAAAATGAATTAACAGACAGGCTAGCATATACTGTCTGTTATCCATGAAGACATTGAACTGACAGATCTTTCTCTGTCTCTTAGGTTATTGACATAGTTGAAGGTTCCTCAACGGAAGTGCCTCCGGCTGTTCCAAAGGATATTGAGGAGAAACCTGCTTGGCCTATCCCTCGGCCAGAAGCTCCTGTAGACTCTATGTTGAAAGACATGGCCACAATCATTCTCAGTACTTTCCTGCTTGTGGGCTGGGTGGCTTTTATCATCACGTATCCAATGGTAATGCTGACTGATAGCTGGATGTTCTTGTGAGTTCCGGGATAGTAACATTTGACAGCTTAGCCTAGAAATGATCCAGGGGTTAGGAAATAACCCCCTACAGGGCTTTTTATTCCTCCTTGATAATTGCCAGACATGCAGTGGGCAGCAGAGGCTGTATATTTGACAGGACAGTGATTTCTCTGGCTTATGTGCCAACTCTTGAGATCTTTTTGTACATTGCACTAGTTCTAGTTTTTATATGTTACTCTTTTCATGCTTTTTTCATAATACCATTGGCTTCTCTCCTCCCTTCCTCCCCTGAACCTCTGTCAGATTTTCTGACTTTTGGATCTGACTTTTATCCTTCTGTGGTGTAAAAACATTTAGTCAACCTAGTAACAGTCAGCTTTTGCCATATTAACCAACTGCTGTGATTTCTGAGTTTTGCTCTGAGCGTTCACAAGGGGCGAGTGAACGCCCCTTTAGTTCCTTAGTTCCTTTAGTACTTAGCTGCTAGCATGGTAACACGAAAACTTTCCCCTACCTTCTCGATGCATCTGCCCTAATAGATGTAGAAATTTCCTTGTGTGACATGACTGAGAAACGCTTTCACATGTGGAACTGAGGTCCTCTCTCCTCTCTCACAGAGTGTACATCAGCAGCAACAGAGGCAGCATCAGCTGGAGGAGAAGATACAGCTCTTGCAGCAACAACAGCTGCCCTTCAGTGCCCCCAGTGATCTATCGCCAGAAGCAGATTTCTTGGACACCTCCTGTGTACGGACAGAGAGCTCAGCTACCAGCACACCAAATCTGTCCCCCAGAGCATCAAACCATTCTGCGTATTCCAGCGTTTCCACATCTGATGTTGGGAGCTGTCTTTCCACTGAGCAAGAAGAGGGAGGTAGAGTTGATCTAGTGTCTTTCATTTTGAGTTTCACTGTATTTCTCCAACCTGTATGGTAATGGAGCACACCCGTTAAGACTTACTGATGATACTACATAGATCACAAAGCTGAAAAAGGACCATCACGCTCGTTTAGTTTGAGCTTTTGCAGGTGTGTCATGTCCTGATTTTGGCAGAGCAGAAATATTTGCTTTAGAAGATATCCAGATAATGCCATCTGAGGATTTTATGTTGCCTGTGGGATATGTTCTTATCATCTGTAGCCATTCCACGGAGAGGTGACTTTCCACCACTTTTTTTTTTTTCTCCCAATAATAAGCAACAGTCTCGTCTACCTCAGGCCTACTTCTTCTGCTAAACTTTATTTAGTATAAGGTTTTCCTGAGTAGTGAAGTTCATCTGCACATAGGAAATAAAAATGGCAGCCTAAGTTCAGACACCAGTGGCCAAGAATTCATTTGAATAAAAATAAGTATTATCATTAACTGGAATCAAGAACTAAGAATTATGGAACCTGGTTTGCTGTACTGCCTGACCTCTGGTGTGCTTGTAAATCCACTTTCCGTAACTGTCAGTTTGCATTTCCTAAATTCACTGAAACATCTGTAAAACTAGAAAGAGTTTGTCTGCTGAGCACCACTGGTCTCTTGTACTGTCTGAGGCATGACCTTTCCAGACCGTGAGTTAGCTCAGGTGCTATGTACAGAATGTGTTTGAATATATTGGATTATTTGGTCACCAGTAAGTATTTGCTGGTTCAGCATAAGTACCAAAACGCAGATGTTTGCTTGTTTTGATCATATGCGTTGTGAACTTAAACGTGAGCAGAAGGATTTTTTACATCCCAGCTTAGAAGGCTGCGCAGTCACAAAAGGCTGGCTTTACTCATCCTCAAACAGTCCTATTTCGTGTTTTTTTGTTCAGGTGAAGATACAAACAGAGTGATGGTTGGCAAGATATCGTTTAACCCAAAAGATGTATTGGGACATGGAGCTGAAGGAACAATTGTTTACAGGTAGAAGACAATATATGCATTCAGCCTTAAATAGATCAGTTTATATCTTACTTGCATTAGGAGTTTCTTTTTTAAAAATACTTATTTAATGTGAATAGAAATGGAAATTTTAAAGAAGTATATTGAGTGTGTCTGGAATATTTTCCTGCAGTGTTTCTTCACTAGCAAAAATCTTTCCCTTGGAAATGTTTAGTAAATAAAGGTTTAATGACAAAATATGTTTCCAGCGTGGGAACGCTTTTGTAATATGCCTCTGTAAAACGCCTTCTGTTGTCACTCGCTTACCTGCTTTGTATAGAGAGAAGCTAAAAGGTTTTATGTGGTTTCTTGTTTGCAGGGGGACGTTTGACAACCGAGCTGTTGCAGTAAAAAGAATTCTCCCTGAGTGCTTCAGTTTTGCAGACCGTGAAGTGCAGCTGCTACGAGAGTCAGATGAGCATCCTAACGTGATCCGCTATTTCTGCACGGAGAAGGACCGGCAGTTTCAGTACATAGCCATTGAGCTGTGTGCTGCCACGTTACAGGAGGTGATGAGTCACTTAAACCTAAAGAACCTCTGAGAGTCTTCTCACTGGAAGGCCTTTAATTTTTCTTAGCTTAAATTGTTGAAGTGTCTGCCACAGGAGATGGTCGTAGTCTCGCCATCACCTGTGTGTCAGTTACGTATTCCTACAACAGTGGTAGGTGTCTGAACAGTGGTTCAGACCTTTAGAAATATCCTCCCAACCATGTACTGATCTAAGGACAGAAGCTCCTGTCCTTTCATTTTCCTTCTCATGAAGGACTGTGTTCTAGTCGTCCTGCCTCTCCTACCATCAGAAGGACTTTGAAGTCCTCCTACACTGTTGCTTCTGGAGGCACAGTGACATGTAGAATGCTACCTTTGATTGATGTTGTAGAGATGATCTTTTCAGAGCAAAATGGCTCTTGCACGCATGTAATCAGCTATCATTATACTGTCTGCAATTTTCCTAGTTTAATTTCTTTTTTTTTTTTTTTTTTGGTAAGCTGCTTAACTTTGTGGGGGCTAATGATAAACACTGTTGTAACTTTGTCATCTGCCTTTCTGTTGTAATTTGTAGTATGTTGAGCAGAAGGCCTTCAGTCACCATGGCTTACAACCCATCACCCTCCTGCAACAGACAACATCTGGTCTTGCTTACCTGCACTCCCTCAGTATTGGTACGAATAACTCTTTGTTTCAGTATAGGATGCAGAGTGGTACGTTTTCTTAACTATAAGACGATAAGCTGGGCTGGTGCTTGGAGCTTGCTCATTTAATCTGTGAATAGAGAATTCTAGCACCTCTGTCCTCACAAAACACACACACTCTTTTTTTTCCTCCCTCCCTCCATTCCTTCCTTCTACATCCCTTCCCTTTCCCTTCATGATTCTGGTCTATGATACCCTGTTTTCAGAGTAGCGGAGAGCCTTGTGGCTAAGACCTCAGGTTGGCAGCAAGCCGTAGTTTTTTTTCTAGCACTTGTTTGAGGCAGTGACCTTCTGCCTGTAAAACTGCTGCACTAGAGTATTAAAGCTGTTTGTGCAGGGCTTTTACTGTTTGTGCAGGGCTATTACTGTTTGTGCAGGGCTTGGCATTTTTGGTGCAGCAAGTGGTGATGCAGGCTCATCGCATACTCTTATTCTACTAAAGGCAAGAGAGTTGTGGTTAAGACCTTGATTTAACAAAAAAAAAAGTGGTTCAGCCTTATGAAAAGATTACAATGCAAACACCTTAAAGGTTTATATGCATCATGGGGATTGCCTAGAGGGACTAAACCTGTGTTTGTACTAGTCCACAGGGACCTGAAGCCCCATAACATCCTCATCTCGATGCCAAACGCCCATGGGAAAGTCAAAGCTATGATTTCAGACTTTGGCCTGTGCAAGAAGCTGGCAGTGGGCAGGCACAGCTTCAGCCGTCGGTCAGGCGTGCCAGGCACTGAAGGGTGGATTGCCCCAGAGATGCTGAGTGAAGACTGCAAAGAGAACCCTGTAAGTCTCCATCTTGCAGGCTCCTCCTGGGAGAAGGACGCACAATGCAGGGCAAAGGGGGGGGTACATTGTCACAGGCAAAGATAACAATGTTGGAGGCCTGTGCGTTCATGCTGGCTTGCAACTAAATTAACAGTAGCACAATGGTTTTTTTAATATAGCCTTTTTTTTTTTTTCCTTTCAATTACTTATGAGTAGCAGGTGATTCTGGAAAGTTTCCTTCTGCCCTCAGATACACACATACGCACCTTGTGATGATGGCCCAAACTCTTCAGGGGGGAGTTGTGTTTTTTTTTTTTTTGTTTTTTTTTTAAAGAAGTGTTGTTATTGCTATGAAAGGCTATTTATTTGCAGACGTATACTGTGGACATCTTTTCAGCTGGCTGCGTCTTTTATTATGTGGTATCTGAAGGCAGCCATCCCTTTGGCAAATCTCTACAACGGCAAGCCAACATTCTGCTTGGTGCATACAGCCTGGATGCTTTCAATGCAGAGAGACATGGTAAGAAACCATAAAGTGCTACAAGAGTTCTGCATTGTTGCAGTGCGTGTTAAAAGCAATAGAAATGGCAGGAAAAACTATGAACCACAGTGACACCCCCCCCCCCCCCCATTTGGTAATGGTGACAGTTATATTATTATACATAGGCACTCCCACAGAAAAGTTAGAAGCTCTTAAAGATCTTGAACTTACTGCCCCAAAGCATGTAATTAAGTAAGTGATACAAAATTTTGAGCCCTGCATGTTTGACTGCTGTAGAGTTATTTCATGTACATAAGGGGTAGGAAAGCACTGAAATTTGAATTTTTTTTTTTTTTAAATAATTGCACTAATTCAACGCTATGGCCTTCCTGTTGATGGCGCTGAGTATTTATGAGGGTGGTACTTGAGCTAGTGTGGCCAAGCATTCAGGATCAAATTGGAAGTAGTTGAGACCATAATGATTTCCTAAAGATGCAAAACATGAGCTTTCTGTACAGCCTATGAATTATCACCCTTTTCCTTGCAGAAGACATAGTTGCTCGTGATTTAATAGAGCAAATGCTAAACATGGACCCTCAGAAACGTCCGTCTGCCAGCTGCGTGCTAAAACACCCATTCTTTTGGAGTTTAGAAAAACAGCTCCAATTTTTTCAGGTTTGTCTTGACCATTTTCAGTTCTTTCAGTTCTAAGGACTCTAGACACTTTTCACATCTTGAATTCAGTCTCCCCTAGCGTTGTGGATGTTGGAACTAGAATAGAATCCAAACCTTACTGTGAGGAAGCAAAGTTTTAGTACCTAGGTGCTATCTTTAAGAAAATGGCTCAGGCTTACAAAAGATCATGCGTGTCTCATGAAGCTAAGACACAACGTTATCAACTTACTTAAATTGCAGTGAGGAAGGTCTGTAGCAGTTAGTTAGGGTAGCAATGCACTAGGATGTGCTGCCAGGCAGGTTTCTAAGAACAGGGTAGACCACTGCAGTGACTGGGTGTAGCTAATCCTGACTTGTGGTGGGCGCTGGCTTGGGGCTGGTTCCTGTCTTTCTTATCTTCTATGCTGTGATACAAACACTTTGGTAGATGGTGAAACATCTCATAAGCCCCTCTCTCTCCCCCCCTCCCAAGCATAAAGCTGTGTATTGTATGTTGTCATGAAGTAGAATTATACCTCCAGTATTAAGACATGCTCTTAATTGGCTAGCAGAAACAACTTTAAACTGTCAGGAAAAGTTTGGAAGTAATATGACTGTCTCTTCCAGGATGTTAGTGACCGTATAGAGAAAGAATCATTAGATGGTCCAATTGTCAAGCAATTAGAAAGAGGAGGAAGAGATGTGGTGAAAATGGACTGGAGAGAGCACATCACTGTTCCTCTTCAGACAGGTAATGCGATTATATTCTGTCAGAGCAGTCTTCCTGGTTTGCAGGGACATGAATGTCATTGTCAGGACAGACATTGTCATCTCCGTTGCGGCACATGATCTTTACTTGTCAGCAAAGTATTTATTTATATAATTGAAAGTATCTCTTTGAAACACATCCGTAAACAGACACGAACACGAGCGCGCACACCTTATTCTTGAGGCCAGCAACTTAAGCATAGCCTCAAAACACAAAAAGACCTTGTAATTTTTTTTTTTTTTTTAAAACCAGATCTTCGAAAGTTCAGATCATATAAAGGAGGCTCAGTACGAGATCTTCTGAGAGCAATGAGAAATAAGGTAAAGGACTTAGTTTGTGCACATACTAATTCTCATTAAAGACACTTTGGATATGTACCAAGCAAACTTAAGCCACTGCACTCGTTTCCTCCTCTTTAGGCTGAGTAAGCAATATACACACTGTAATCTTCTTCCACTTGTTGCCAGTCTCTTTTCCTGTTTCAGGTTTTTGAGCTGCTTGACAATTGACTTACGTTTTCCTGGACAAAGTAACTTCATCCATCTTGTTCAGACAGATCTATTTAAAGGAGAGAGACCTTAAACAACATGTGATTGAGCTTTTCCCTCTTTTTCTTTTACAGAAGCATCATTACAGAGAACTGCCTCCTGAAGTGCAGGAGACCCTGGGCTCCATCCCAGAGGATTTTGTATGTTACTTTACAGTTCGTTTCCCTCACCTGCTCCTGCATACCTACAAAGCTATGCAAATATGCTGCCAAGAAAGACTGTTTCAGCATTACTATAATCAGGACTCTGCAGAGACGAGTCTTGCAGGAGACAACATTTGAGAAAAGGGGGATGAAGCGTCCCTCTTGGACTGACATTCCAAGCACAGGGCTGTGAAACAGGCCTACCTTTAGCAGGGAGACGTGGGATCATCGAAGAGCTGAATTCTCTTTGAGGAAACCAAGCTTCCAAAAAAGTGCCTTGTACTCTGCACTGGATCAGGCTCTGGTAGGAGCCCAAGGAGCAAGTGGCAACTTCAGAAAAGCAATGAACCCTAGAGATGGAGTTATCCCAAGGCAGTTTTTAAGACAGTGAAAAACGGAGTGCAAAAGCTGGATATAACCATCATTCAGTATCCCTATACTGTAGTTGCTTTTATAACTCACTCATGTATTTTACTGCACAGAATCAAAATACAGTGATTGAAGTCATATAATTATTAGGGACCGGGATCTGCAAAAAAGAAGCCTTTTGGTTGTAGCAAATCAGACCCTGCCATTGCACTACTGCCTGCCACAGTCTGCATTAGGCACACTGCAGTGATTGTAAAGGGAATCATTTTTAAGTATCAAAAACTAGTAAGGAGAACATAATTTCTTTTTAATCACAACTACCCTGGAAAATTAGTCCCTCATACTTGAGCAGATACAATGAAGGTCTTAAAAAAAAAAATATGGACTAGAAAAATCAAATCAGTTAAAAGCTTTACTTTTAAAATAAGGCTTATTGACTCGTGTTCACAGAAGCGCTTGAACAGTACTTGAATTAGATCACAGACTGGATCTACAGAAGAAACTTTTTATACATTGATGTCAGCTATTAGCTGCTTGTGAGAGGCTAATGATTTATCTACTGCAAGTGTTCCTTACTTTCTACTAAAGAAGGGTTATCAGTTGCACATCTAAAGGTAAGGTGAGTCATGGGAAAGAGAAACTAAATAACAGAAAATAATGAAAGATGTACAGAGCAGTAACATTATAGGCAGTGTTTTTAACAGGTGAGCTAAAGCTGTAAAGAACCTCATTTTCTGTTTTGTATGGGTTGATAATTATGTCCAAGGGAAGCTTATGTTTTTAAAGATGCAGTATTTCTTTTCATTGGCCCTAAAGCTGTGACAAAGCATTAAGAGTGTGTGAGGCATTAAAAAAATGCTGAATTCTAATATGATACAAGTGGGAGGTGTTCTTTTAAAATATATTTATTTAACATATTTATATTTATTTAATTTTTAACTACAAAGTATTATTAAATCCACATGGTACAAGTATAAAGCATGGCAAACGTTTCTGAATCACTTTTGTGTTTGTATTTAATCATATTATAACAAACAACTGGAAAAGTGATACTGCATCTTTCAATGGAACACATTTGTCTACGCCAGTTAACGGGGAGATTACAAAGTGGGGAGAGTTACGCTGTCTGATTGTGCCATTGTGTCTTAAACTAGTAAATTATTGACAGTTATATGTATGATTGGGTACATACGGCCACTTTTCTGGAGCTACTTTACTGGATGTTTTTCCTAGTTTTACAATGTATGAGAGCAAATATTTACATAAGATGCCAAACTGTGCAAGTTACATGTTTCTAAAGCTTGGGGGGGGGGGGGGGGAGAGAAAGGGTAGTTTTACCTAAAAAAAAAGAAAAAAGATTCAAAGCCTATTTCATATTTTTATACTTCTCATGTAAAGTTCTTTTATAATTCTACTAAATAAAGACTTGTACTCAAGTAACACAGACTTAGACTCCAGGTCTACTTTAAGTGAATATGTGTGCCTGAGGAAATGAGCCTGACTGCCTTCATGCCTGGAATAACATTCCTTTTCCAGTCCTGGTTCCAGAAGCTAAGTGGCAGAGGCTGAAGTTGGGCCTCCTGTCTTCCTGCTATTGAAAGGTAGTCTGTACTAGTAAAGCAACAGTGCGGTGTGGGTGTTTGCTGGCCCGCAACTGACAGCCAAGCAGCGAGGAGAAAGCCAACTCGGAGCTCATGCAGCACTTCTCTCACTTGCTGCGGAGGGAGGGAGGCAGAGCAGTAAAGCAAACACAGAGCCTTGCTGGAGACCCTGGAGCCTCACTTTGTTAGCCTTAACACAGTTCCTACTTCTTGGTGGCTGAGGCTAGGTGAACAGGCACGACAAACAGGGCTTCAGTCATTGCACACGGCAAAAAAATTTTACTGTTTGTGCCGCACTGACCTACTGTACTAGAGAACAGCAGGGCGACTTCCCAGATCTCTTGAACACACTTGTTACTGAGCGTATCACTGCTGTGCCAGCCAGCCAAGCCTCAAAAAAATTCCCAGCACATCACATCACCTGGTGAACACAAAATGACAGTGGCTATTGCAGACAACTGGCAAATACCTGGAGTTCGTGCCCTTCCCTTGGTGCAATGACGTGTAAAGGAAAGAAGAGGCGCTTTCCTGTAAGTAAAAATTTCATGTGAAAGTCAATCAACAAATAACCAGGTGGTTTTCAGGAAGAATCCAGGCATGAATCTTAGCTTTATCTGCAGGAACCTGGCTGGCTCTGCATTATGACTCACCTGGCAACTACCAGTGCAACAGTTGTGCCCCACAACGATAACAGCCCCTGCTGGTTTGCCACCCTGGCAAGCTCTTTTCGTCAATATTTACTTTGGTGAGCTGGCCTGGAATCAGTAAGTAGCAAATAGGGCAGGCAACAAAGTGAGGAAACTTTGCCTAGTAAAAATAAATAAAAAGTCTGTGCTGTCTGAGCAGGGTCAGGGTGCACAGCGGTGCTGGAGCAGACGGGCCAGCCCAGGACCTGCCACAGCCCAAGGGGAGGCTGGCACAGGACTGCAGCAGCATCCCCCTCAGCTGCCCTACAGCCCTAGGTACGATCCCTACCGCCCCCAGCGCCACTCGGCATCTTGCACAGGAGCCAGCTGGGCTCAGCCACGGGCTGCTTTGCCCCCACGTCCTGGGGACTGGGGCAGCGCTGCTCATCGCAGCCCCACAGGGGTTGTTGCATGAGGTGGAGGGTGTCCGCTGGCTTTCAAAGCGAGCGCTAGCCTAACTCCAGGCTTCAGCATTGCTGAGAAGGGGATGGAGGGCTGGAGGCACACCGAGAATTTTTGTCAAAAGCACTTTCATTTTTTCGTTAGCAGAAATGATTTTGGACCCTGTTTTAAAAAAAGGGGGGGGCAGAAACACAGCAACTATTTCCTATGAGAACAAACACGTAGAAAATAGTGATCCTTTTCTTCCAAACTTGGACTAGGATTTTAAATTAATCTCTGGACTTATCTTGAAAAAACAAGATAACTTGTGCTCTGTAATTTTAAGTCCCTCCCCACCCCTTTAAAGTGGCAAGCAAAGAAAAAAGCTACAATATACACACGACAGTGGCTGATTAGCACACGCCACTCACAGTGACACACCGCATGTATAGACCATACATATCCTGCTCAGCTACAGGAGACGATCCAGTACAGAAGCATGGAGTGGAAGTAAGCAACTTTTAAGACACTTTGCATGCATCAGTGGTGATTTTAAAACCAAAACAATCCCCCCACCTGGTCTCTTACTTCAGAGACATCACACTTTGTTTCTCTCTGTAAATGTTGCGTATCATACTAGATACATGTGTAGCTGGGGAAGGGAGTGAAATGAAGTGAACCTTTAGATAATTACCAAAGACTACTGTTAAGAGCAGTTACCATGTTACAGTCTAAACAATTCCAACACTGGGAAAAAGGTTTTTGGAGCATTATCTGAGACATATCTGCACGGTACGCAGCTTCGAAAAATATCTTTTGGATATATCCATTCTCGATAATTTTCACTTTGTCTAGTCTGATTTACCAACTTGAAAAACGTAGAGGAGTGCGTTGTCAGTACTGTGTCTGCAACCATTACGTCACATTAAGTTTCTAATAATGAAGAAACCTGCCACTGCTGCAGTTTTGCATTGCTTGATATTGACAGCATCAGTAAAATTTAGGGAGAACCACAGTTTCTACATGAGCTGAATTATCCTACCTGTAGGTATAGTTCTAACAATAGAAAGAGGTGATTTGTTTTCCCAACTTCAGTCAAGATCTGGGCACAGCTAACCTGTAAAAGGAATTGCAAACCACGATGAATTTAGAGCAGTAACAAGCAAGGCCTCGCACAGGATGAAGAGAAAGAATATTCTCACTAGTCCACACCTTCACCTTCCTCCAGTCCCCAGAAAGCTGGAGCAAAGCCCACGACGGCTGGCCAGGTAACAGTTGTCCCCTTCTTCCCTCGCCAGCCTGGGAGACCCAGCAGCAAAGCAGACTCTTCGAGGGCTGCACTGTTTGCTTGGGAAATCCAGGCTGGCAGATTCAGGAGAAGCGCATCAAAGGCGGCTTCTCCCGAGACACTTGTGCCAGCCAGGCGCAGTGGTGGGGCACACTGCAACAGCACCTCAGTTACTAGGAGCCAAACAGACAGCTGGGGGGTAGAGAAAGCCCCCACTGCACCAGTGGGGGATCCAAAAAGTTAACTGGGCAGAGCAGCTTTACTGAAGCCTAGCATAGGATATGAGGATGGTTTTAGATATGGCATAGCACAGACCAGAAACAGGATGTCCAAACTGTTACTGAAAAGGGCAGAGCTAAGCAAAAGCATTAATTACGTGACAGTTTATGCAACCCACTAACACGCTACAGCACTTTTTTTAATAAAAATTGTTACTGTGACAAAAGAATTAAACCCGGAAGACTTGGCCAACAGGTTTTGTCTTGTTTCCCTAAACCCTGCCCAGAGGCACCAGAGTTGAGGTTGCAGATAGTGATTCTTTGCCCTGTCCTCCACGTTGAAAAGTCTTTCTTTACTTTGAGGGCTAAGTAGGGTCTTGCTTTTCAAAGATAAGATCTAACCCTTAGAAACAAAAGGGCCGAGATCCAAATTCTTTGCCTTATCAAGGTATTATAAACGACAGGCCTCCCTCACCCCTTTTCCCAATAAAAGCAGAAAAGTGAAGACAAAAAGTTAGAGGAAAAAGCCTAACCCTACAGACTAGGGATCTGCACCCCCTCCCCACCCAGCAAAACAAGGAACTGACACTCTCAGGGCAGCTGAAGTACAGACCCATCATCCTTCTATAGCTGGTCACATTCAAATTCCCCATCAGTTCGATAAATCAAAGCTGGGGTGCTTCAACAAGCTGGGCGATGAGACAAAGCTCCTTGCTCCAGCCAGCTGTGAGGACAAAGGAGGTTTCCCTGCCTTCCAACCACACCCTCACATTTCCCTAGTGCTGAAAGGGCCAGAGAGCCTAAACCTCAGCAAGGAGCAAGCCAGAACGAACACCTTCCCCATCCTGTTGGACTACTTTAAAGGGTGCTCTGCTCGGCCTAAAGCTCCTCCTCATTTCACGTATCCAACTCAAACTGCTATGATTCATTCCAGGTAGTGTAATATTAAAATCATGGATTAGTTTTCCTCTTACCAACTCCGAGAAATTAATTAGCAAACAGTAGCAGTTAAATGAGATCAAATTGCCTACTAGAGTAGTTTATTCTCACCCTTAGAAGTTGAAATCCTCACAACTACTTAGTGCTGGTGTAACTATTAAGTTGGCACATCATCTCCCCAGTGTTTTGCTTTGAAGGATTTAATGTAGACCCCTTAAGTACATGTCCCCTCTACTAGGTAGCATGAAAATACCATTAAATACTTTTCCCCACATTCCCAGACCCTTTAACCTAACTATATACACTTTTTGCATAGTCAGTTTAGAAGAAAGCAAGCAGACTAGCAGGGGAAAGAAAAGTCATCAAGACTGAAAAGTCAAGATTACATACAGTATAAAATAATCTGTTCTAAGATAAAGCTCATATGAATGACTTCTTGCACAGCTTATAATCAAGAGAATCAGCACAGTTACTTAAACTGAAATAGTAGGGAAGGCGGATTTTATACTTACATTCCAAAACAGCTAACATACACTGCAGTGTAGCTTAAATAGGTCCGGGGCGGGGAGAGGGAGGAGGAGGAGAAAAACTACACAGAAACAGTGGTTCACTTATGTTTAATCAGAGACTGTTACAAAGGGGTAGATACACACTGTAGATGTGTGTATGTGCAGTTATCCATTCCTGAAGCATATGCTCACAGAAGGTGCCCAACACATGCAAACGATGTTAGCTCTGTATTTTCTTCAAATCTTCTTTGTAAACCGAATGCTATAAAATTAAGCTACAGTTACGGTTACTATTATTTGCATGCATTAAAGTGATGCATTTACTTACCAGTCTCTCACTTTCTGGAATTAAAATATTAACTTACCAATATTTGCCACTTGTCTTTTGAAAAAGATCAGTGATCCAATCCCTTTCTACTACTTGCACAAAAGCAGGATCAAGTTACATTAAAAAACAAAAACAAAACCACACACAGCACAGCGACTCCCCTGGTTGTACTGAGAGGGGACATATTCTGATCATGCGCTTTAAGACACATTAAGATGCAATCAAAAACAATAAGGCGTCTCGAGTTCACTACACAGCAAATGGAATCTCTCATGGGGCGATCCAGAGCCTTTAGGCAGCTGTCTGAAGTAAGCAGTGTGAACTGACTCCCTCTTCATCTTTACCACGTCAGAATTGGGACAGGAGACTTCTGAACTGCATTACACTGGATAGCAGTTGCAACAACGGATCAAGAATCGAGCTACGGTTTAAGACCGCTCACCTGTCTGGGAAAGGCCAGACTCCTAGTATTCTTTTCTGTACTGTCTCAAAGCTCAATTCTACCAGCAAGTACTGCAATTCATTGCCATAAAGTTTCATAAAGAGAGGACCTTCTACCAAAGTTCATATTAGCACTACCCTAGAGAGCTGTACTTTTTGGTGATGAGACAACAGAGAACAGCACCCTGTAGTTATTCCCATTTGTTGCCAAGCTGGGGTACAAGTAGTGCAGACCAGTGTTCGACCACGGTCAAAACTGACTTCACATAGTAATTCTGCAGCCAAAACCAATCAATTACTCCTGGCTTACAAAGCACTGCATTAAGCGTCAATGGCAGTAATCAAAAGAAAGATGCATATGCTCTACTAGAGGATAACGGTCTCGTAGCAGAGAACCCCATGTAGTCATGCACACCTGCTACTAACATTTAGGAGATACAGAAAAGGTTTAGTCATTAAATTTATTATGCAATGTTCCACCTTTTTCTCTTCTAGGAAGAAATGCTTGCTTAGCATTATTCACATTTGCATGGAACTACTCCGGCAAACAAAATAATTTAGTGAGGACGTCTGAGAAATGACGTAGAGAAAGTGCCAGGAGATGTAAACTATTGTAACTATTGTTGATTTTAACTATTCTAAAACGTGGGAAGACACGTTCCCTTTGATAATGCATTTACAGGCTAGTATGATGTATTCTGCAAAGTTGTGTAAAATTTCAAAACTCTAAAACAAGTTACACTGCTGAAGAGAAGTGTCAAGTCTACTGTGTCACTAATGAAACTACTCCGGATCATTTAGACGAGCCGGCAGAACTAAAGTTTCTGTTTAGGTACCTCACTAGTGTACGCTGATCTTGCTTTCACATACCTCTGCACCAACAATTTCAAAAGCCCCTCAAATTCTCTGTGTGATAACATGCCCTTGAAAAGTGAATTAAGGCACAGAAAGTTTCACAGCTTGTCATCAAGCCATGTGCCAGAGCACAGGAAGTATAATCAATTTTCATCTCCCATGCTGGTATGTAGAGGAACATTAAGTTTAAACAAATGAATAAATGGAGGCAGCTAGTTTTGGAGCAGGTTGCATCTTTTATCCAATACAAAGAATCTTTCTTATTTTAAGTCGTAAAAATCTTTAAGTTGTAAAATACTCTGGAGACTACGCAATAAAAACCAAAATGCCAGAACTTCCAGGAAAACTGAATGGCACAAAGGAAGACAAAAACAGCAGAAGAGCAGTAACTCGAGTTAAGATAAAACAGCTGGGCAAAAACCACACTTGTTGGTAGCCTTTAAAGTACTGAAACGGACTAACGAAAAATCAGAGAAAAACAAGCTTCTGGCTAACAGACCTATCAGAGCATAAATATGCCAGGAGGAGGCAGTAATTAACAATAACTAAAGAGAATCCGACCAAAGATTGCAATTACTGCTATAGATTGCAACCAACAGGAATGCTTCTTCCACAAAATAAGAATGAATATAATAGCCTATTAATTGGTTCACTGCTAAAAATGGCCTCTTTTGTAATGTTCACATTACTGAGGAATCATCCTCAATTTTAGGCCTTTACGCTTTTCAGTAACACCAGATGGTTGTTTGACAAAGTTCTGTATAAAAATTCCTTTAAAAGAGATTGCAAATATTACCTATCCACAGGTGTAGTTCAAATCATTACAGATCTTCATAAAAAAAAAAAGTAGACGTTTACTCACTACTGAAAACAGTAGTAGATAGCAAAGATACATTCACATATGAGAAATGAAAATTCCCCTCCTCATGTACTACTTCAATGGTATCATTTGAACAGAGTTATTTCAAATAGGAACATCAGGTACTTACAGATTAAACTAACCTGTACTGGCAGTGCTGTGGGATTTTTCTTCTCTACCAGTAAGTAGCAAATGCTGAAATTCTGCTGCTAGTTAACAAAAACACAAATTGCATTAAACCAAGGAGTTTAATCCATAATTTAGTTTTTCATTTAAAAAATTGCCAAACTTCAATTACCGCAATTTGTCCCTTATAAAGAAAGGCATATGAGGTAAAGGCAAGTATAAAGTTACTAAAAATTTGCCCTTACATTTGCGATACTTTTTGATACAAAAGCCAGAAGTTTAACAAGGTAATCTTGTTGCCTAACATGAACATAAAGGAACTTAAAATACTTAACACAGCCAGGGTACTTCACTAAATCTTATGAAGTGCGTTTTCTTATTCTAGAATTTTTACAACTGAAAGAAAAATACATTTTCCTTCCACTAGAGTTCATGAGAGGGAAGCTAAGGAATTCAGTGCTCTCAAGTAATAGGTCTATGACGCAATTAAAAAAGAAAAGAGAGCGAGAGCGCGCACGAGAGAGAGAGAAAGCTTTGCATGACATCTTTTTTATCTCAAAGCATTACATAATGCTCATTCAAAACTGGTATTAGTTAAAACCAGTTATACACACTGGATACTAAGGGCAGCAGCAGTAGAAATCCAGTCCCCCCTTTTAATGGCACCTATGGACATGGTTAAGAGTCACACCAATTCAATAAATAAGATCTGAGACGTTAAGAAGGTTGAATCTGGCGTAAGGCAGTTAGCTAACGGAGAGATACGCTGCAGCTTCTCCCAAGAGCAGTTTTTTTTTTAGGAAGCTTTCAAGGTCTCAAAGGTGCGTGTGTGTGTGTGGGGGGGGTGTCTTTTTTAAAATTAATACTTGCACTAGAACTCTACTACCATCAAAACTATTTTTTATCTTAAATCCTGAGAAAGTAACCTTTACATGTGTTCAAGCCAATGTTTACAGAGAAATTAAACTCATCACCATTAAAACTGCAGCGTTACTTATTTTTCCTACTGAGTCTATAACAGTAAAATAGTGTAAACTTGCCTAGAAGGTGCAAATACCTCCCTATTTTCAGCAGTCATCAGATGTATAAATACCAGCCCTCATAGACTGCTCCTAACAGTGAAGGTCAACACTGCCCAGGCAACTGGAAGGCTAAGAACTTGAGTGAAGAACCCCCTTCGTCACATGGTGACGTGGCTTTTTGCAAAAACAGCAGACTGAAGCGCCTGGCTCCCTCAAATAGAGGTTCCAAGAACTTTCATGCAACAAGACAAGAAGTAAAAGCGCATTCGTGATACAACAGAACCTGCTTTCTTCCCCGGCAAGTCTTAATGAGAATCTACCTTCTCTGACAATCAAAAGACTGCATAATGCTGCTGTTTGTAGTGTATCCTCTAAGGAAATTCTCACAAGGTTTTTTTCAGAACTTCAAAAAAAAGCCTATATATATACATATATATGTGGGTGGGTGGGTGTGTATTACACATCAGAACCGCTTCACTTCTATCTTGATCCTTGCAATGGCTGTCTCAATCTTTTCTTACTTTCAGAGTTGCATCTACCTACCCCAGTTTTTACAAACAAGTATGGTAGTCCCCGATGACTACACTTCTACAGAACCCTACCAAAATTACTCTGGACTGATTACAGAATGTCATGATTATAAGTATACCCACACTTTAAAAAAAAAAAAAAAAAAAAGACACCCACCCACCCTTCTGGAGATTCCCATAGTACTCCCCATAGTATTTAAGGAATACAGTCTTATCATGCATGGCACAGAACATGTTATGCGTTCATCACACAACTCTAAAGCGAGCCAAACTTCACGCGTGGTATGTACTCTACTCGCCACACCTCTCACTCACTTCTCTTGTTAAGACCATTGGGTGCAAGTTCACCCAGTTTAGCAGCTCAGAATTCCAGCAATTCTTGCCCTTCAAAGAAAGCTCATGTACCTCTATATGAATCTTAAAATAAAAAAAAAAAAAAAACTCCAAAACCTATTTCCTTTAATACCTAAAAATGCAAAGTCACCAAAATACTACGATGGTCCTCCGAAAAGAAATCCCAGAAAAACAGGGAGGCAGAATTACAACTTTTAGACACAGAGTGCTGCAATACTGACAGCGCAAACTGGAGCGTCAGTAAGCACACAAACCACCTGTCCATTGAAATACGGAGGCGTCTCTTACGGTTTAAATTTTCTGGAACTATCCTCCTTAGATCCACACAAGGAGGCAGGGAGGAGAAAGAAACTAACAAAACTTCAGAAAGAAAGCAAGCTATCAACTACTTGTAGTGGATGAGAATTTTGCAAGTTGTTTTAAAGATGATGACTGGCCTGCTGGTCCAGTAGCTGAGGATATTCCCTCAAAAAAGCACAGGGCCAGGATGTCATCCTTGTGCCATCCTTGTACTTGCACGTAAATCTTTTAAGACAAAGCGCAAAGCAAGTGAACAAATGCACATCATTAGTTGCTTCAAATTTAAGCATATACGTTAGTCAGTGATAACGGATCAGAGCAACGTGGGCGTATCTGCTAAAGAAACCAACTCTCAAATAGGAAGCAAAAAAGCCCCATCTCTTTAGAGACCTATAGGAAGGACAAGAACATAAAGGATGGAAGCGAAGGATGTGTCGACTACCCACCAGAAATTACAAGCAACATTTGCAGTGCAGCACCAAAACCCAGAGCTAAAGAAACCTGTAACTCATATAAGTAATATCCTACAGAATTATCCTAATGTCAAATACATCTTTCAGAAACAGACAGCGTGAAAGTCATTGTCTGGAAATTGTCTAAAATCAGCTTGTGAAGAAAAAATCCACAGTAATATGGTGCTGAGAAGGATCATGTTTTGCTTCCAAAACATGCCAAAATATAAAGAACTGGTTCATTTGCTCCAAATTGTCAGTACGCGTAGGTTAAACATTGGCACAGTGAAAATAGGAACTGCACAAGAGAAACCTTTTCACAAACAAGTCAAACGGTTACCTTCAACAAAAACAAGAGATCAAAGCAATTCGTTTCAATTAGAAAACATTTAGCTGCCACCACAGTATCGATTTATTATATATAAGCCAAGTGTGGATCTAAGTCGGGTACTCCATTAGAGACAAAACAGCATACGTATCTGAATTTTAGCTCTGTGCGCCTTATGACAAAGTAAACGCAGGTAGCTGGATAAAAACTAGCTAGTGCTGCAGTGGTCTTAAGTAGGAACTGATAACAAAGTTCAGTATCATGCATTTGATATTTGGCTATTTTTACATCTTAACTCTTAACAGATTCAAATACTTTAAGCAAGAAGTACAAGCCATACTGAATATTTTTCTGTTGTTAAAACAGTTTCCTTAGATATTATCGGGACATAAGAACTAGATCAAGTGTTCCCACAGACCGAACACGTGAAACAAGAACACTAGTTGCAGTGGCGTATCTTGAAGTGTTGTTCCCGTCTTCATTGTTACCAGGGGTAGCACCACAATGAGATTTAGAAAAGCAACACCGTGCTAAGAACAGTTAACAGAGGACACGTCCTTTTCCCACAGTCACAACAGAATCTGGGGGGCTTCTCTAGGAAGAACATGAAGGGCCGCGTACAAATAAAGGAGAGGGTGTAACAGGAGTGTGCAATCAACTCTTATAACTAAGAAATACAACTCACTTTTTTCCTTCAGTTAAACTTAAAAAGTCACATGGGTGCATCACAAGTCAGCAAAATAAATGAAATGCATTCTATGTCTATCAAAAAACACCGCCAATTTTAAAAAGATCACAAAAATAATAATAAAAATCCCAAACTCCCAACTTTAATGTTTGTTAATGCAAGAATTTCACTGATAGAAGGCTGCAAGACCTCCTTGGACAAAACCTGGTCTTCTGAGGCTGAAGTCGTCTGTAAGCAACCTCGAGTACTCCACACCTATACACTTGCAACTAAGAGTGAGCAGCAGCACTAAAGCTTGTTTTTCCTCATAAAGGGTAGAATTCTATGCTACTCACCGTGCAAAAGAAAATTTCAGATAACAACATGCATTAAGCAAGTTTTGCTTATGCTACACAATTCTGCAGAGTTTCCAGCACATGCTATGATTTTCAGCCTCATGCTGCAACAGGCAAAACATTGCCAAGTCTGGTATATTTATGGGACCGATGAAAAGCTCTTCCCTGAAGCTGACATACTGAGAAGTCTACAGCTTCAACTTCTCACTCCTCTATTCTGCTTTACCACCTTGACTCTCTGTTTCTTCATAGGGCTCTACATTAATATTTGTTGTGGTGCAGCTCACAGACGTAGTAGTATTAACGTCACAATACCCTCCCCCATGGAGATTGCATTCTGGAGTTCAGATTACACAATTGTAGAGCTATGACTGTCACCTGCTAGTTAAAAACTTAAGTATTTTAAGCACTTTAATATAGGTATCCAGAAGAGGAAACATCAGCAATCGATATTTACACGCCACCTGTTCGAAGACTACATGAAGTTACATTACCAAAAACCAAAACAGCACAACCACTCCTGGGGGTGAGGGGAGGGGGATGAGGGAAGGGAAGCTGTGGCTGAAGGACTACCTGATCAGCCATTGAAGGAAACGCTCCAGTAAGAGAGAAGGTACCCAAACATCTTAAAACACGTTCCCTCCCCCCTAAAACTCTTAAAAACACAGCAATAATAATAAAAATATAAATATTAATATAGAGCCCATCTACCAAAAGATAATAAAAATCCTAAATTAAAATAAATTTAGGGGCCTTCACCAAACTTGCTGCAAGTTTGGGGACATAAATATCCAACAGCCATAAAGCTGTGAAAGCCCCCAGAATGAATAAAATAAATCCCACTTGCCTCAGACTGAACAGGGCAACACTGAGACTCTGCCTCAGCCTGTCCTATGGCAGGGCTATAGGAAGAAGAAAAATTTAAATTTTAGAAAAAACATGACCCAATTAAGTGAAAGACATGCATTCAAAGTTAACAAAATTCCAGTGATCAAGCAAACAAAAGAAAATGATTGCTTTAGCACCTATTTTGTTAAGTCCAAACTAAATCTTTTATAGCTGGTAGCTATTTCTGAACTGGACAGTTTGTTTTGCTTATTAACTTGATCAATGGAACATAAGTCAGTTGTCTTGGGGCATTTTCCCATAACTGATAGTATTTACTGTACTAGCTCACAAAAAGTAGAGTTAAAGATTCCGTCAGCCACTGGAAAAGTTCACCCTCACCTTAGTATACGATGTAGAAACTAGACCAGTACAGTTATTAAGACTTTTGATATTATTTAAGTAACCATTTTAAATTGCAGCCCCAGCTCATGGACTGGTATATCAGAGTCTCAATTTAACAGAAGAGTCATAATGCCCTTCTTACTCTTTTTAAACTGAAGTAATTGTGATTTTTTTTTTTTTTTGAAATCTTATATTCAGAATTCTCTGGTTCCTGTAAAATAACTTCAGGTTATGCATGCCATTCAATTTCATCCAAGTTTTAAGAAAGCAAATTACACACTTCATAGAGGTATTGCTCAAGTGCTCCATACACTCCAAATAACTGCAGAAACTGTACAAGTCAGATGCAGCTGAATGTGTTTCTAGAAGCTGGTTCATGTTCTTCCATGCGTGCTCAGAGCGAGGAATAGTTAGCCACTGAAATTATTAGATATACATCCCAGCCTCAATTTTATTATCAGCACCTAAAATCTCAAGGGTGGGGAGAGGGAGAATCTCAAAAAGCTCCCAAAAGAAAAGTTATAGCCTCTATAGACTAGCTAAGCAAAGTATTTTGCATAAACATCTTTTTCCATTTGAGTCTGTATGCCTTCTTGCAGCCTGTTTATTGTATCCTGCCCTTGCACTACACCTAATTTAAGGGTTGGCCAAAAGCCGTTTGCAAGATTTCGTTTTACTCTGAGATATACCGCGGCAAATTTAGGGAATAACCAAAACACAAAGCTTCTGCCTACATAGTTATTTCGTTAGAGTCCTGTAACAGATACAGGAGACATGCTTTTCTGTAGGCACAAAAGCTTCTGTGATCCTTTTCTAGGATCTAAGAGATTAACTAAAGCAAAAACCTCTTTGCACGGCCGCATTACAACATGGATTTTGCTGGCACAATGTTGATTAAGCTTTGCGCCATAAACCAAGCCTCAGTCTTTTTAAAAGCAACTACTACATTCAAAAGTATAAGAATTTTTCTCCTTTTCGGAAATGCACCATAAATCCAACTCTCTGAACATTAAGAAGCAGTATCCGAAGAAATGAAGGTAGGGACCAACAGACAACATATGCACTGAAGCAGCTGACAGAAGAGTACATACAAGAGGCACAGGAATAACTAAAGATAGCCACATGACAGCTCTTACAGCACAGAAACGACAGGAGCAAGAAAGGCAGTTATCTATGTGAAAAAACATGGAAAAGTTTTTCACCTGTTTGTTGCAGATTAGAGTATCCCATGACTATATCTGGCATGCTTAACTAGTTGAGGGATTATCGTAACGTTACTACTCAAAAAGTTCCATCTTTAAATGCTTACAAGCTCTTAAGGTGATGCTATTATCAGAACAGCTATACATTCACTATTTGAGAGAGGTAACCTCTTAATCCTCAACCGAGACAACTTGCAGAATATGCTGAGTTAACAGTACATGCAATAAGGTTTTCAAAGGTTCATCCCAGGAGAAGTAGGGATCTGAAAACAACATACCAATGAAATGAGTTACAGGAAGATACCAAAGGGAAAAGTTATTTAAATTTACTAGGGGTAGGAAGGCAGAATATCCTTACAGCAGCACTAAGATCTTCAGAAAAAGCCAGAAGTTCCACAGTTTTACAAGCAGAAGTTAAGATCAATTTTTAACGTATGAATTCTATGTAGTATTACAAAAAGGATGAATGGATGAAATGAAAGGATGAATGGACGGATGAAGTGAACGGAGGAAACGAAAGGAAAGGAAAGGAAAGGATAACACCATTAAACTCTCTCTAGCACTTTGTTTTGTGAACTCTCCTTATTACATGAAGGGAAAAAAAAAAAAAAAAAGAAAGTCAGAGTATCAAAAGCATTTGCTTAAGCAAAACAGTTTTATCTCTAAGACATAAAGCAAGGTGAAGAGCTAACAAAAGATTTGACATCAAGGCCCACTCAGCACATTCGCAAGCTCATTACTGAACATCTGACAGGTGACCAGTAGATAAAAGTAACCAGAGAGAACTGCTTCTCAATAGAGGCTTGGAGTTATGGTCTTAAAAACACTTCAGTGAAAGGGCCTAACAATTTTTAACAGTTAAAGCAAGCCATTCAGCTGGAATTAAGAATGCACTGGACGCTCTAGTATCTTTAGGAGCTGTTCCATGATCCCAGATGTTTTAAATTGAGAGATACCACTGTATTATAGCTATATTGTATTTCTGAACTATGAAGAGATAGTACAGAATAAAGCCACGTGAAGTACTTAAATGCAGCTAAAACAAAAAGTAAGACTTTCAAAAACGAAACAACAGAAAATCCACCCCAAACTCCACCCACCAACAGAAACCACCTCATGGACAAAAATACTAATTATCTTTCTAATCTACCCTAAAGAAGAAATACCCTATAAATTAAATTGCAGTTAAGGCTTGAGGCTGGAACTCGTATTTAAAGTTGACCTGCAAATGAAACACTCCTCACCCTTTTTCTCCTGTTCTGAGACAATGACCAGGAAAGTTCTCACTTCCCCTTCCTCTCCAAAGTTTCCCTATGCATTCGCACTCTCATCAGAAACACAGCATACTAACACAGCGATGTTAGATGTTCAGAGAATTACAGTCTTGACAGTCATCTATCACTTTACTCTTATAAACAGATAAATGACTAAGTCAGATGATTAAGATTTATGCTTGCTAACTATAACCAGGAAAATTGATGGAAAGGTCTCCTGCTCTAGACAATTCCATTAAATGGCTCAGGAAACTCGTGCCAACGCCTGATTGTAGCACACAGGATGTCTCACCCTTTGGAGAGCGGTAAGATTCTGCATATTTAATTCTGCATATTTAAAGTGAAAATACAGCACACTCCATCTCTCCTTTATACACTGAAAAGGAGGACAAGCTGCTCTCTCTTTTGCAGGTCAACTTCAATACAATATCAACTGGAAATCACTCACCCATGTGTCATGCACCTAAGCTTCTAGAAATCTTCATCTAAAAGGCTCCTGAAGTTCATGCACTTGCACATTTGAAAAAAAGTCAGCTGAAGAATGAACTAACAGGACACATCTGGCACTAGGATGCATCTTACAGCAATCACGTTTACATCTTACAAATAAGTGCCAGGACAATAAATCATTTAAAATTTATTGAGGATGAGAAAGCACAAGTAAAGAAACAGATGCCATTAGGAGAAGTTACATCCAAGAGTTAAGATGTGCCTCCTGCAGCCTCGTTTTTGAAGAGTCAGTTAATAAGTGTACAGGTCTTTGTCTACTCAGATGTGCAGCTAAAGGAGTGCCTTAACTTTAGAACAAGGCATTCAGATTTCATCAAAACAGCACCAATAATAAATAGTGTTCGTTACCCCAATGACTACTACGGCATGCATCTGTACAAACCTTTCAGGCAGTTGTCCACAGCTGGTCATGAATAAAAAGGCATATAAATTTTTCTCTTCTTTTATTACAATGAAGTTTATAACAGTACAGAAAAGCCACACGACCTTAGTGGGTCAGTTTACTTAAACCCTGAAACAGGAGGAACTCTAAATACATTAAATATTGTTACATGTTCAGACTTTTAAGTGTACAGGTAGTTGGGAACAGTTACAGCCCTCACCAAACTATGTTGGGGACATGAAGTCCAACAGCACTTGAAGTGCTGTGAAGGCATCATTTTACAAATAGCAACATAATGTTACAGAACTTGCCTTTAAGGTGGTACGTTCATGTAATTCCAGCGCCTTCACAATTTAACGAACCATATTTACTATACTTCACTTCTAAAAACCTAGATGAAACATGAAAAAGAAGCCATACAGTATAAATTGCAACATCAGGAAAAGTTCCTGTTATTATTCCAAATAATTTTTCCCGTGTAAGATAAGAATGTCCAATAGTTCCTTGCATGTGGGAAGATACTTTTTTTTTTTTTTTTTTAAAGTCACAATGAAGCCTTAATTGACGGAAGCTTGCCTATATTAACAGCACAAGATGAGAAAAGGTTTAATCTCCAAACCTATTAGAGTGTGTGTAGTAGCATCAGTAGCGGCCACCTTGCGACATTACAGGAGGTCTCATTCCCATTGGAGGTCGAGGAGGTCCACTTTGGTAAGGGGGCACCATCGGAGGTCCCTGACCATAAGGAGGCATCGCTCCAGGAAGGTATCCTGGCATGCCCTGGTGATGAGCACCATACTGACCTAAAACAAAACATTTAAGATGCAAACAAGAATTCAAGTTTTTTAAAGCAGCTATTTTAGGCGTCAACAGCGGGCAGAAGCTGCGTTTTGTGAAAAGCTGTTTCTTCACAGTATTTGCCACCTCATATTTTAAAAGAATTTATAGAGGAGACAAATCTTTAAAGAAAGAAAACTAGGAAGCTTATGATTACCATGAGGTGGCATAGGCGGTCTCATTCCTTGCTGCTGTGGAGGAATTCCTGGCTGTGGTGGCATCATACCTCCAATTGGTCCAACTGGCGGATTACCCAAGGAAGCTTGTCCTGGTCGAGGAAGGTTACGCTGATATTTAGGCAACTGTGCCCTTCTCTCTTCCTAAAACCAGGAAGAGATGATTGTAACACACCGTTAGACTAAAGCTCAGCAAAAATCAAAGCAAATAAAAACAAAGTAGATTACAGATAGTGAAATATTTCAACTGTCTCAAAAGTTCAAGAATGTTATTAATAGCATATTATGCAGCAACTTCTTTAACTTTTAGATTTTTAGATATTTTATTTTATTTTAAGATTTTTAAAGAAATTTTTTAGATGAGACTTTTTAGATTTTTTCCAAAGTATTAATCCGGTTAAATCTGGTATGCTGCACACAGCACAATACCTCCTCCTCCCCCATGTGAAAAAAGTCTCCTCTTCATGACAAGCTGAGGCAAAACTAACAAACACAGATCTAAACACATTTGAATTGAAATTACAGTTCCTTTGTTTTACCCATAAATTCCTGATTTTTGACTGCTGTAACAGCACCAAGACCACTTCAAACTCTTAAGTCTTCTGCTGTAAACACATTAGCTATATAGCTACTTAACTTCAGCCTTAAGTCACATGCAGAAATAACGTCCAAATTGTATCTTGGGCTGACAGAATTGCCTGTCGCCAACGAAAACAAGGCTTAGATCCGCAGCAGTATCATTCCAATACGCTAGTCCTCATTCTGCAACCAATGATGTTTTTGGGACGGAAGGCTCTTATTAACACTTTATGTTCTGCACTCTCACCATTATTATTGTTATTGTTACACAGAGCACAGAAATTTTATCTAATCAGTCCTATCAACATAAACTGTATTTTTTAGTAAGACCCCGAAAATATTTTAACTTACCAAAGATATATCCTCATCTGGATGGATCAACTTACTGGTTGCACTGGTTGTTGTAAGTGTAGCAGGCTTACTTGTTATAGATGTAGCTGGTTTAGCTGCAGTACTGTTTGTTGTGCTAGTGGTTGAGGCTGTAGACTGTGTGTAAGCAGGGAATGTTGGTTTGGGGGGTTCTGTTGTTGTTGCAGGTGTAGAATTCAAAGGTTTGAAATCAGTACCAACTGGACCTGGAACAGCTGCCGCAGCCTGTGAAACACAAAGATAGATCAATAGAAATATTTATTTCTCAAAGCATAAGAAATAACTTAAGTGATGTCTGTTAGACCTCTGAAACCTTCCAGTGAGATACATAATTAAAATAAGCTTGACAAAAAGTACAGTTCAGCCTTAACACAAACTAAAGCAACTGAAAAAAGGATAAAATAAAATCCAGTATATACATACATATATATCTCTCTATACACACACGCGCGCGCACACACACTGGAAAGTCTAAGATTTGCAGGTCAAAAGCCACAACCAGAAAAAAGGAGCAAAAAAACCAAAAACAACCCCCCAAAAACAAAAACACCCTACTGAAAATTTTTACCTCACTTGCTGAGTTTGATAAACGTCTACGTATTTCCTGAATCACTGTTATATTAACAGTCTATAAGTATCAATTCACAGTTCCCATTAAATTAGCATACTCTAGCAATTAATAGTTTAGAATATAACTCAAAGCGTTAGCATTCATTGGAATTAGGTATTTAGAAAGTGTTTAACGTTTAAGAAAGCTCTATGATGTCAGATCTTTTGTTTTAAGCATTCTCTCCATAAAAGCACTGCAATATTTTCACAAAGTACTATACGTATCTACAGATCTTTAATCTCATTTGTGACTAAAGAATCAACTAAAGGCAGATATGAGGTCCACTAAAGATTCCAGCATCTCATCTTTCCTACCTCGTTCTTAAATCAAAACTGTACACAAGAAAAGTTTGCTTTATCAGGTTTTCTCTAAAGATAACAGCAATCTTCAAAGCAACTTTTACTTATGAGAGAATGCTTTTACTTCTAGTCACTGCACATTTACAATTTTCCACTAAACTTTCTAACCAAAACAAAATATTTCAATTTTTAGCACATAATGCAAATTACAAAATTCCCTACATTATGATGTATCATATTAAACAACATAAACTAAAAAGCCTTCACCATGCATCAAGCTAACCACTGCCCACTAAAATGCATTTATCTGCTTTCATGCTTTTTTAACCCTTTAGAACCAAGATGTAGCATTTCATTCTCTCACACTGTCTAAGAACAACTGGGCACTTAGACATGCTTATTTCTAGCACGTTGCAGCTCAATCAAGAAATCTGTAGTTTTACTAGCTAAACATAATCAGGAATATAACAGAAATTATCTGAAGATGTTTAGACAATTTTAGGTTTTACAGAATGGTCTAAAGGGTTAAGTTGCAAAGCAATTTGTTTTTAACTGTGACTTCCTGCGTACTTGTGCTGCGCTAGGAAACAGAGCGTTAGAAGATGCTGACAGACTTTCTGAATTGGAGGAAGCTGTACTTGAGCTTGTGACAGGTGTCCCCATCTGTAGCATAAAAGAAAGGAAACAGTGAAAAGTCTCCAAACAAATGGGTGGAAAGTATCCAGATGAAAGGATTTCTTATGCAAGGGACTTGGTTTTTGTAGACGAGTTCTTCCCTACAGAATTCCAAAACGCAAATAGGACACTATGAAGGTTTCTATAACATGCTTGAAAGCAAGTGAAAACTTAAGGACTTATTCACAGCAAGCGCAATCAAAGGGTAGAAGTCACAAGCCCTTCTAACCACCATCATTTCCCCGCTTCTCTCCCCAAGTAATTAAACAAGATTTGACTGCCTTATTTTCCTCATAAGCCTTTTTAGGAGGGGGACGGGACACACACCTTATCCAGGCAATGTTTTAACCCAGCGTGAATGTGACTATAGGATAAATTAGTCCAGCTACGGGTAAAGAGCCCATTATGAAAAGAACCAGAGAGAACAAATTGTGTCAAGATTCATACTCGAGAAACTTTAGGAAAAGTTCTATGCAATCAGATTCCTGCAGCTGACTAACACCTCCCCTCACCCACCCAAAGCACCTTTAAAAAAGACAAACTACATGGTTTAAAGGGGTGTTCTGCCTACTCCTTTCTCCCTCACTTGCTTACAGAACTTCGGCCTGGTTTCAGGGCTGTTATAAGACAAAAGAGCCTTTTAAGTCCGTCAAGCACTACACCGAATTAGACTGAAGAATCAAGACAAGCAAAAAACTTAACCAGCTATTTCTGGGGTCTCCTCGGCAATAAAGAGGACACAATGGCACAGTGGCAATTTAAAGAACGTAACAGAACAGATTCCAGGCTATGAGACACCTTACCTGCCCTGCACTTGGGAAGAGTGGTTTAGTAACGGGAGGCTGGGGGGTAGGTGCCGATGCAGCAGGAGCTGGAGGTCTATTAAGAATACCCGGTGCTGTCACAGGCTGCGCTTGTGTCATTGGAGGCATCCCAGGACGAGGACCAACTGGTGGAGGCATACCTACAAACCAAAAAGAACCTGTAATGACTCGGGCTCAAGAAGGTAAGTCTACTCCTTCAGAAAATCCTGTTCCCAGTGTTCTTTAGAACAAAGTTTCCCCCCCAAGAAAGATGTGTTTTTCAGGCAACTGTAAAAGAAATCATGACAAAGGGTAATGCAGGGCAGGTAATGCCCTGTCCACGCACAGGAAAGAGTTAGCTACTTCAGAGTGAAAACGAATCAAGTTGCACATTCTGTTACTTCCACTTCAGTGACGAAAGAAGCTTATGCTCTCAATAATTCAGTGCCAATAACTCAGTAACTGTTCCCAACACACCGTGCCTATGCTGCTAAGTGAGTGGATAAGGCTGTTTAAAAAAAAAATCCAAGGGGCAGCCCATTGTGAAGGGTGTCAGAACTTCAACTGAAACATATGTCAGCTCCGCTGTGGGTCTTTAGCGCAGGAAAACAGCGACACGAGAATTAACTTTATTATTTTGTATAAAAGGCACTTGGTGTGCAAGCTAGCTGAAATTAACTGAAGTTGAAAAGGCAATAGGCATAAAAAGAAACTGGCTCTGAATGCAAAAATCTAAACACTATCACTTCTTTAACTAATTTCCAAGTAAGATCTTTTGTGATTGTTCAGTTTCAGACGCGTGGTATCGGCGCTTCTTTAGTTTCGGGCAGGAATGGCCAGTTTTTTAGCTGTGTACCGTGTCTTTTTGCAGCCAGTCACCACAATACACGCACTCCGTATCTGGGGAGCTCTAGGAGAGGTTCACAGATGGGAATAAAAGCTCCACACGCGTTCCATCACATTATTGTGCAACAGAACTAGGCTGGATGTACACATTAAGTATTTTGAAGAACCTCATTATATCAGGCTCAGCAAGCCCTTTTGGCTTGCTTCCTCCTCCAGTCAGAAATCTGGGTAATCCAGTAAGTCTCAAGCCATCACAGCATAGCTGCTGGTCAGGTGGAATACCCTCAGAAATTAAGGCTGCTTAAAGAACTACATGAGCTCAAGAAATAAGATGGGCCAGGTCTGTTCTATCTATAGCAAGAGATCAAAATTTCAGTTAGTCTTCATGATACACCCATGTAATGAACTTGCAGTGTAAAGAAACTGTGTTCATGTCACAAACATTTTCCATCACTGAGTTTCCCGCTGCAGCCACAGATAGAGTGGGGGAGGTGGGAGAAGTGAAGAGAGGCTAGGCAACACAAACTAGAAGAGAAATATGAAGAACAAGCCTTTATCCCGTATTTTACTTCCCGGTAGTACCAAACGACCTTGCCTTTTGTGCAAGAGTGGCTTCTGGGACAATCCACAAAGAAGTGGCAGCATGCAGCTTTACTTTGTTTATATTTATTTGTTTAATTGAGACTTAGGATTTATATAATCTAGCTCTCACCACAGTACGGGTTCAACAGCCCTGACCTACCTGGCGGCATACCAGGCATAAGAGGTGGTATTCCTGGTCCAGGGGGCATCATCCCACCCATCGGCATCATCCTGTTAAAAAGGAAAATGAATACTAGTATAAACGTTCATGATTAACTGTCAAGACTACTGGCACATACCTGTATTAGATAAAAGGTACGGTAAATAACTTAAAGAAGTTCTCAACAGAAGCAACCCCAAATACAGCTGACACTGCAGTTAAGACATTTTTCTACCGGAAAAAAACAAAAACAAAATAATAACATGCAGCCTCATACTATTTCAAACACATTATCCTTCTTCTAGTATATGGCAGACAACCCAAACCTGTAAAACTAACCAAAAACTACAGATAAGAGCAGAGACTAGAGAGCAAGGATCTGAAGTTTCAATTACAGTAAATATTCCCTGCACTCTAGATATGGTGGCTTTTTTTTTTTTTCTCCCCGGTGAGGAGTCCTCATCATGGTGTATTTTCCCTTCATATTAAGAACAGGCTTTTTGCCTCCTACTGATAACCTGAAGGAGAAACCGGTCCATGTTTCCTATCAGAAAGGTGGCATTCAAATGACTCCCTTTCTCCTTGTCTTATAAACTGCACTATAAATTAAAATATGTTCCCTTTCTAAACAAGCAGATTCTCTCTGCACAGGGTCTGCAACTCCATACAAGATGGAGCGTCCACAACACAAGGGGGTTTTCAACTGGGAAACATATAGAGAATTCCTTTACAGGAAACATGAAGGCAAGCCTAAGCTATGCTTGTTTTTTTTCAGATGCTCGAAGCTGGATTACAGGAAGCAGGATAAAGGAATGCCTATTATTTATTTAGCAAGATAAGCAAGTATACAGCAGCCAACTGCACACCAAAATCCCACTAAGAAGCTGTTTCTGTTGTATATGACAGTTGAGAAACATTTTCTGTTGCTGCTTTCAAAAAAAAAACAAAGTATCACAAATAAGAGTCCCAGCCTTCCCTATGCAAGGCAACTGGCTTCCCAGATTTATCCTTTCTTCTCCCCCTCTGTTATTGCTACAAAAGAAACAATAAGGGCAGATGTAGCAGTGACTGCCAACATAGTACTGTCATCCCTTTTTGGATTAATGGTTGGAGAAGGGAAAGTCTCACCATCCATTTCAACAACTATCCGTTGACTATCCGTTTAGACAAAAAAAAAAAAAAAAACACCACACACACAAGCCGGACATTTGCTGCCTACTGTCACCAAAAAGATGACTTTCTGAAAAATGGTAGGGAGAACGTTAAGACTACTGCAATGCTAGGACCAGTTATTTCCTAAGCCCTAGTTCTTGTTTGCTCATTTTTATACAAATGAGCATCAAGTTAAGCAAAAGCTTAGGTTAAACAAGGTAAAAGCATAATGCAACAACATTCCATAAGATTTCGCCAAACGGCAGTGCAGCGCAGCTTTTTGGCAAATTCATTGTCTTTACTAGATGGCATTACATTCATCTGAAGTTGACAGAGCTTAAGGAGTACTCAACACCAGCAAGCCTGATAAAATTCTGTTCACTTTCTGCTTAGAAAGCCTACAGAGTCATGACGAGCATCCACAAGCTGTCTGATTATGTCTTTTTTTTTCCTCTGTTCAAAGAAGCAACATTCATGTCTCAAAAGAGAAAAACTTCTCACCTTAGTTAACTTTTATACTTAAGAGCAAGCTCCGGCTACAAGTCCTACAGTGTAAAGGACTAAGAACACGGAGCTGCTCTGGTGCAAGATAGCAGGTTATAAACCAAGAGTCTATTTTCATTAATGTTTTGTGGAATGCATTTTTCTTAACGTACAATTTTGTAATATTAACTTAGATAAAGAATAAAAATTTCATACATTATACGAGACACTTTCCCCATATGCTTAGGCAATATTCAGAGGTTTTCAGTTATACAGTTTCAAACTTATCAAATATATGACATAAAATGGTATAATGAATGTACCTAAAATTACATTAATGAGATGCTTACATGTTTCCACCACAAAATGACTGCATGTATTTTCTCTGTTGATGTAATCTGTGAAAATTTATGACAAAATCAAAAATCTAACTGTGATTTTCGGAACACATTGTGATAGGGTACTGTGTCAACCCCAAACAAGCATAAAAAATAAAGAAACAAAACCAAAAACCACCAACATCTTATACTTGCCCAAAACTTAAGAAAAACTTAAACTGGCTAATAATTTGTTCCTGGTTAGGTCCACGACCGACAAGCAGATGCAGAATACATATATGCAATACACAATGCAACAGTGGTTCACAGAAGGCTCTAAACCAACACAGCAATATTTTACATGACGAGAATACTAATCAGTGAAAACAGGAGAAAGAAGCCATACTTTACATATAAACTGACAATTTGATCTTATTTTTAATGTTGGTTTAGAGCCTTCTAGATCTTTGTTTAGTCTTAATATTAGAAACGAGATTAGAGAGTTCATAGGCTCCTACACACGTTTTTCTAGTTAGCTTTACTTTTTGTGACATATGGCTTAAAATGCACAGTATGAACACATAATATTAAAGTCTGTCTTGCTACTCACCCAGGTGGCATTCCAGGCATCACTGGAGGCATTCCAGGCATCATAGGTGGAACACCTGCCATTAATGGTGGTATACCTTAAAAAGAAAAATAAGTTTTAAAGTTCAACAATATATGCTTTTTAACGCATCTCTTTTAAGAAATTAAGACTGCAGAAATGATTTAGAAAAAGCTCTAAAGCCTTTTTTTTTTCTTTAAATACACCTCTTATAGAGGATGAAACATAAAAGCCTTTAAGCAAACCTGACATCGATCCATCGATTCCTGTTTACTAACCTGTCTTACTACCAATGTTAATAGTTCTTCCATCTAGATGAAAGCATCAGGTGTCTTAATCTCCTTCACAACTGAAGATGTGCACACATATGGGATGTGTGCGCGTGTGGGGGGAGGAAATATCAAGAAAACCACTTACACACCTCACAAAACTGTTCTGTAACTTTTAACCATGTGTCAGAAGGGGCGGATCATTATTCCGGCATACAAGTAGCAATCGGTATTTCTATTCAGCTTTTTAATAACCAGCTTAAAACATCACATTACCTAGAGGCATTCCTGGTGCACCTGGCACAGGAGGCAAACCTGGTTGTGCCATTGGGGGAATGTACCCCTGCTGTGGCTGAACCTGCTGTGGTTGAAATGAAGTTGAAGCTGCAGATTCATCATCTTCATACTCATCAGAATCATCCTGTTGTTTCTTTTTCTGGCTCTCTGCTAAATAGTACGAGTATAAGGTCAGACTGAACATAACATGTAATTTTATAGAATACAATTTATCTGGAATATTGTAATTTGAAAAAAACCAACAATTTCAAATCTTACCCCCACATTCAAAAATTCAAAGAATTAAAGTAAAACTATGTGAGCCTACCATTATAGGCACAAATAATAAACGGGAGGAAAAGTCACCTCACACTGTAATGACCCTCAGCAAAAACAGGGGGGGTCAAGGTAAGTCATGAAAATTCAAACATAGTTATGCTTAACAATAAAGAAATCCAAGTAGTCCTGCATCATCAGGCTTGCATCATCCCTTGCCCTTCCTCAGCCCACGGATCCTCAAAAAGCACGCGCGCGCGCGCACACACACACACACACACACACCCCTCTCACAATCCCCATACTTATCAGGCAATTAGGTGTTTTAGCCGCACCAGCATGCAAATATTTTTAAACGGGAAAATAAAAATATCACTTGTCTTTCTAAGCGACTGGTAAAAGTCTGGAACTGCAGTTACAGAACACATTAACCCAAGCACTACTCTTCCGAGGAAGAGAACTTGTATCACACAGCTAGATTCTTAGCATCAGTAAGAAAGAGCATGATACAAAGAATTGTCTTCACACAAGACCTACTCTTAACCCATTTTCATCATCTAAAAAAGCAAACAAACAGAAAAACCCCAAACCACCACAACTTCGTACTCGGAGCCTACAAAATATGAGTTAAAAGGCATACAAATTACCATATGCTAGAAAAAAAAAAGTTTGATTTATATGACTTTGAGGCAAATTAATACTCTCAACTGTGCAATTAAGATCTAATATTCAACTTCAATAGCCAACTCCAAGAACACACACCAAAGCAAATCAAATTTAAGAAACAGACTACGGTAATGACAGATAACTAGTTGGATTACAATTTACCCTGAGTTTTTTGTTCAAGTAACCTCCTCCTTTCCTCCATGTCTTTCTCTGGAATGCCCTCCATGCCATAGATTTCCAGTTCAATGTCTGTTCTTCCAGGAATAGCATTTGGAACAGCATCTATTGTTTCTTTATGTACCTAATGAAGTTAAAAAAAAGTGGTTTTCAGACGGTTTACATTCAAGATAGAAAAGGAAAACTGTTAACAGGAAGAATCTCTCTAGCTGACCATTTCCTTGAGATGTGTGCTTCCTAGTCACTGTTAACTGCTATTAGCTTCTAAAATCAGTTGATACGCTTATCTTCTGAACACCAAGGCAACACAGTTTCTTCACTCCTCCCACTCCTCCTCTATCCAAGAACGGCCTGAAGATCTCTACTGCATACACTCTATGTGAACCCTGACGTAGCAGAGAACTCCTGGTCTAGAAACAGACAACTATCACGTGTTTCTAGCACATTTTCAAGATTCTGGAAGCCTCCCCTCCCCCCCCCACAAAGAACAAAGTTCACTGTTATTTACGATTTTACACAATGACCAGAAAAGTTTCATGTATGTTTAAAGTTTCTTACCTGCATGCAATGTATAGCTAAACCAGGTCCTGTATACAATTTCTTATGACATATATGGCATTTAAAGTGCTTTGCTTTTTGATGCTGTATAAGGATTTTTTCATCATCAAAATCCCTGTTACAATACCTATTGAAGACTATTAAGGAAATATTTAATCCAAAAAGCGATTTAGGTAACACTAAGGTAATAAGTGTTACTGTGATTTCTCCTAAAGGAAGGAGAGCACAAAAAATGTCTCTGAGCAATCAAATCAAATAAATAGTTCATGGATGTCTGAAACCAAGCCCCACCCTCCAGTTATGTAAATTATGAAATGAGGAAGAGGTATGCACGCAATCAGAATCTAATCTTTCTCTTCATGTTCTTTGTCATAAACTTTTCAGGTCCTAGGTATTTCCAAGCAGACTCATTCCATTTCTGCATGCTTTCAGATTAAAATAAAGTTGTTAAAACATTAAAGGAAAAACAGGCTTGAAAGTCGTGAAAGGGAAGTGATGCTAAATATTTATGGCATAAGTAGTAAAGTGCCGATTCCATTCTGCAGGTCAGTATTAATATCTCAGGGAAAACCCCAGACACCTTGTTTAGAGACGCGGAGACATGTTTGTTGTTAGCTATTTTTTGTTACAACAGTGTGCCCCTCACTTTCAGCAAAATATAAAGTTTAATAGAAGCACAGATGCCTTCAAAAGATTTTTTTAAGTTTATAAGTTGCTCTTTGATCTTTTATCATTTTATTAGTTATTTTACATTGGGAGAAACATTTGAAAGAGAATATATAAGTCTATATCACACCATGCATAAAGTAGATTACAAACGGTTCACTGAAGAGAAAAAAAAACTTCAAAACAGAAAAACTGAGCTTGACTTTAATGCAGCAATTACAAATCTAAACGCCTGAAAAAGGTTTTCAACAGGCCTTTCTGTAGCCAGATCTGCTCCAGTTCTCCCTGAATACCAGTATTCATTAGAGGGAGGTTTTTTTTTTTCCTGCTAACATCCTTCTTCTCGGGGAATAAAGACTGTTCTCTATTTCCCCAAGATCCCAACAGTCCAAAGGAGGACCAATGCGGGCAGGAGAAGCAATAGCAGCAGCCAGGCCCAAGCCGAGGCCTCACGCGAGGCAGGCGGGAGCCGACGGGCTAGGCCGCGCGGGGGGGGGAGGGGGGAGAAGGAGCTGGAGCACAGAGGAAGGGCACAGGACTAGGCCCCATCCCCGCGCTGAGGAACACGGAAAAGGGCACAGGACCGAGCCCTGGGCTACACGAAAGCAGCGAAAGAGAGAAGGAAACAGCCCCATCCCGGGGAGCAGAGAAGCCTGACAGAGAAAGGGAAGGGACAGGACGTGACCGCTCCGCTCCCCTCCCCCACTCCAGCCCCC